ATGGATGAAATTTCCGTTTGGGTTCAGTACTTTTGATGACGCTTTTTTACTCCAGAAATATGATCAAATAAATACTCAGATGGTCTTTCACTTATAAAGAATGTGTGTGTGTGTGACTATGGATCTATGCTGCAGAACATATAGCATTACAGTTAGCAGTAGTTTTAATACATTCAAATGAGGTGTTGTGCATTCATTTGGAGTGTAAAAAGCCTTGTTCTATGCATATGAATCTGTAGATGATCATTTTTAAGAACAACAGCACAAACAGCCTCACACACGTCTGCAGAGAGCAGGTGGTCACTGAGCCTGGTTTTCGCAAGTGTTATTGTACCAAACTCTGCAACATTTCTATCAATAGATAACCTGAAAACAACATATCTATACATGAAAGAAATAAAGGTTAAATAAGTGTGGAGCTGTCTGTGGTTAAACCCCTACAGTTTCATGCTTTCTGCTTGCCCACTCTTGGAAATAAACTTAAATTGTGCAAAACTTTTTATGAATTTCCACCACAATAAACAGGGTTAAGCTAACTCCTCATCGTATATGCAGACAGATTTCAGTGCTGTGAGGATGAGAGTGCACAGCGCAGCTCTGAGCAGCAGAGCTGAGGTCCTTGCAGCTCCTCTCTGTCACTTTAAAATGCAAAACTGGAGCAAACTACACAGTGCTGTCACACTTTGTGGTGTTTCTTTGGCATGTGATATTTCTCCCCACAGACACTGGGGAAATAATGTGCTCATGTCAGTGCTGTTAGCAGCTGTAGTACAGGAGAACTGCTGTTTAGACACAAGTGCAGCAGGCTGTAGATTACTCTGTCTGGTACAAGCATTAAAAATATCTACATATCATTTTTTTATCATGTTATTTATAGTCTGCTTTGCTTTTGTAGGTCATAAAGAGGCATCAGTGCTAAGCTCCTGGTGTTTCATAAACAGGTGAAATAAAACCCGAGCTTTAAAGGGGCCTGATTTTCATACAATCAATTTGTAGCACCACCAGATAGACCAGTAGGTGGACTTTGAGCTGGTGTGTTTTATGGACTCTGTATTTCCCCATTATGGATAAAACCTTTATAAATAGACCACCACATTTTAACAGTGATTACATAAACCCCAGTGTAACAGGGGGATTCAGATCTGTTGGTGTTTTTCTCCAGCTGGACTCAATGCTAAACCATGACCTGAATACTTAATTATTCAAATATTTCTTATTTATATCAGGCAAATGTTGGGTTAGCGGCAAACCTTCAGGTTCAAATTTTTTAAAATAGATATGTTTTTTTTTTCTTTTGGAAGGTTTAATTTACAACTTTGACATTATTTTTACACACATATTGAAGTATTTAGAGTAGGGCTGTCAGCAAAACAAGAGTGGAGCAACAAAGTAGTTTAAAAACTAGCTAACTAACTAACTATACACAATTAACTTACATGTGATTGTTCATTAATAATGGTTAAATTTATGATTCAATCTACACCACCGGCCATGCAGTACTAACAAGCGTCACAAGATGGAGACTCCTTTCTGTACTGTTATACTAAGACTTCATGTAATTTAACTACAGACTCCGACCGAGAGAGGAGTTGGTGTAAAAGGTTACAACCGTGTTTTCCTTCTTATACAGTGAATACAGTGCTGTGCAAACCCAGCATTGCACGGTAGATGATGAGTTAGACCGCTGTGTGAAAATGCTCACCTTCATGTCTGTCGCTCCCTGAAACTAGCCTATTGCTAATGCTAATGCTAACGCTAAGATCACTCAGGTAATTTGCACCGGGTTGTATTTTGCTGTCTCCAAAACACTGAAAAAGAGGAAAAACACCGGCCTGAATAAAAGGGGTCAGTGTATCATCCGTCCATTCAATTATTCCATTCAATCTAGTATATGAAAAACAATATTTTGTTTATTTGTTTTTCTATATAACTAAAAAATAAAGATTTGTGTTTGTTTTTGTGATTTTATTAGTACGAAACAGAAGATATAAAAGAGAAGGAAACGAAAAGAAAATAATAAACCTACTTTTTGTTTTCGGGTTATTGATGACCCCATTTCCCACGGTGCCTTTCTACTGTTCGCACATGCGCATTGCGCAACAAAGCAGCCAACAACGTGGACCAAAAACTGACCAAAGCGGTAGAGAAAGGCTTACCTGCTGTCATGGAGATGGACGCATCCTACGTATTATTCGAAGCCGCCAGGAGGGTCACGCTGAAGGAGGAAGATATGGCTGTAGAAAAAAACTACAACCACTGTTCTGTTACAATGTAAGATTTTGGCGCTTAATCCGCTCTGTCACATCTTTCGCCATGATAACTGTCGCTAAGGATCATGGGAAGGCCAATGTAACCTCCATGCACGTATGCTCATAATAGGCGCACTCAAAATCAATAATTGTAAATAAGACTTATTATTTTGTTTTCGTTTCCTTCTCTTTTATATACCCTGTTTTGAGCTGAATATATGAAAACAAACAGTATTTTTTTTTTGGTTACACAGAAAAACAAATAAACAAAATATTGACGCGTTTTTTTGTTTACTAGATTGAATGGAATAATTGAATGGACGGAGAATACATGGACCAAAAAAGCCGACTTCCTAAGGTTCAGTGCAAAAATATTTATAAAATGTGCAAATATTGAACCTTTTTTATTTTTTATTTATTGTTTATTTATTTTTTGTTAACAAATTTTGGAACCAGAGTTCTGCAGTAGAAGATTGTATTCGTTTAAGGTCCTTTAAACTCCCAGGGCCCCGCCCACTGGCTGATATTAATTAGCCTACATAATTAAAAAAACATATTTTCATCATACTAAAATCATTTTAACCTTTTTAAAGCCTTTTAAGAGCACAATTTCTAATCATTTAAACTGGTATTTTGCGTTTATCAACAGATTTATAAAATCAATCACAAACAATAAAAACAAATTTATTAGGTCACGTGACCTTTTTTACCCACCATACCCACCTGTTTACAATGCGGAAATAATGCGCTCTATTTCCTCGTAAGGACACGTGACAAAGCGCCTAAACAGCGCACCTTCAGCAGGTAAGTGGATGTGATTGTTTGTGAATATGTGATCTAAATGAAAATAGAGCTCAAAGTGTGCAACTGTGGTATAAAACAGAGCAGAGAGGAGGAACGTAGGCGTGTTTACGGATGACCACGGTCAGTGACGAATCTTTAACCTGCTTTTAAAGGAGAAAACAAACATTTTCAGGGAGTTTGGAGCGTAAAAGCTGAAGACATTTAAAACTTATCAAAACCATCTATTAAAAGTCAAAGCAAGAGGAAAAAACATAAAATCAGAAGGTCAAAATATGCCAGAGTAAGACCGTTTTAATAGAAGATACAGTGTTGATTTATATCATTCAATAAAATGGACATTAAAATAACTTGTTAAAGTAATCTAATAAAAAGCAGAATTTAAGAAGTTTGTTTAGAGATTTAGAGCATAAAAACTCAACGTTGTTTTTAAGACCTGCATAAGAAGATGTATTTCGGACCTAAACCATGTAGCACTTTATAAACCAGTCACAGGATTTCAAAGTCTATCCTCTGACAAATAGGGAGCCAGTGTAAAGACCTCAGAACTGGACTGATGTGGTTCAGTTTCTGACTCAGTTTTTAGGCAGACCTGATGATGCTATAACAGTAATCAGATTTACTAAAAATGAATCCATGGACTAGTTGTTCTAGGCTCTGCTGGGACAGAAGTTCTTTTAATCCCCGATATATTCCTCATGTGACTGTGACCAACTGTATAACCTTCATTTTCAAACATTTTTCTGTTTTCTTTAGACGACCAAATTAAGAACCTGAACACCCAAGAGACCTGCTGGTGTCTTACTGTCTGCAACAGGCCGAACTGAGTTGTAAAGTATCACATCCAGCTGCAGCAGAAACCACTTTACTCCCTGAGGAGTCAGATCATGTGATGGAAATGAAGAAGGACTCTGCGCACCTGCTATAGATCCAGATTTATCCTTAAAAAGGCTCTGCAGCAAAAATCGTTTGACTCCTTATTCCTGTTGGACTTAAAGCCTGAGATGGCATAATCTTCTTGACTTATAGGATTTGAAACAAAAGCATCAAAGTACATTCAACAGGGAATTGAAGTATTTATTTATTCCCTCAGACTCAGAGAGCAGTGTCCCGGTTTATGTAGGGACCACATCTGCAGCAGAATCACGAACATCAGGTTTTATTACTTTATAAAACAATAAAGATTAAAAACAGACCAAGACAAAGTAGATAAACAGCTTCAGAGAAAATGAGAATATAGAGCCTATATGATTAAAATAAAGCAGAACTCAAGTATGACTGGATCAGCTTTAATCTGAAGGCACGTGTTTGAGAGCAGCAGTGACCGTCAGCCTGATGTTGAGCTGAAGATGTGACTTTACCGGATAAGCAGAGCCGTGCAGCTTCAGGAGCTGTCAGCGCTGTAGTAGGACCTGCTGGTTTGAATGGAGCGCCGGGTCACGTTCTCTGCACGCCGCTCATAGTCCTGCTAAGAATAAAAGAGCAGGGAAACCCCAGTGTTAGGGGGGGCGGGGGGGTCGTGTGCTTTTCAAACTGGTCACTGTGGTTGACAGATGCCCCCAGAAAGCCACTAACAGGATGACGCCAGCACTGCGAGGGCCACGGGGCAAAGAAGGATTATGTCTGAGCAGTAGATAAACAGATTATTCCCGAAACGGTGCCTACTTTTTTAACCTCGTCACTCGTGCCACACTTAACAGCTCCCAATGTCCCACAATCCCCCCGGGGAAGGACGGGAACGCCCTCCAGCAGCAGATGCACAGCCTGGACTCCTCATCGGGAGCGTCTCTGCAGCAGCTCAGGGCCCTGAATGATCCGAGGTCTGCATGCAAAGTCAACCCGCTGCACCCATGAGCTGCACCTGACCTAGCCGACGCCCCCTCCCACCTCCCCTCACCCTGCCTGCCTTCCTGCTGGATTTATTGATATTTTGGGAACTCTTCCACCACAATGCTTTGGGAATTTGGGCTCGTGCTGCTGGTCTGCCTCGCTCCGCAGGCTGCTGGAATTAAAGGTAAGCCTTGTTTTGTTCTGAAAGCCACAATCCTCTGAGCCTTCACACTCGGAGACCTTTACAACTTGGAAAAAAATGATGCTTTTTCACTTTTATCCTTTGCAGAAAGAATAAAGTTTTTTATTCCTTTCAATAAACTGCAGCAGCCAAAGATTCAAGGATTTGAGAAGTGCCTCTCCTTGCACTAAACTTGGTCTCCATGCACAGCAAAGCCTATTAAGAGTGCATAAGTACCTGGCTGTGAAAGGTGCTGGACCCTGTCACTGTTTCACCTGCAGATCCAGATCCAGAGAGGCTCCCTGATAAGACTGAAAGATGTAAATCCTTCATCTGGTCTCACTTTGAAAGAAAGTGAAATCAGTGTTGAAACATGTGCAAACATGTCCACGCTGCAACCAGGAAGAAAAAGGGGATAATAGCAGAGTTGAGCTGATTTATTGCTGGTACAGTGACAGTTTGACAATCTGAATTACAGTGCTCTGCAGGCGTGTTTGAGGGTGAAAAAGGCTTTAAACACAACAAGAGAGAGGGGCTTTTAATGTGAGCGGTCCCAGCTGAATGTTTCAAATCAAACAAAATATCCTGAAAGCAATGTCACAAGCAAAAACATCACCTTCACCTCGCAACAATTCCTGTATTGATCCTTCGAGCATCAATACTTAGAGCGCCCGCTGAATTACAACACCCACTCTGGATGATTCTGGCCTGAATATATCTGCTGGCTGTGTGATCAAACACCTGTGTGTACGCTACTCGTCTGTTTTGCGCATGAGCTTTCATCCCAAGCACCCTTCAAGCACAGGAAGAGCTGTTATTTTTAGTGTGCGTGGGCATAAGGATGGAGAGAGAACCCCCAACTCTGGCAGGAGGATATATATCGCTAAATACCACTCACGGCCACAAATAACAGAGACGTACAGATGAGGACGTAAACAGCTTTATATAGAAAAAGATACGTCAAGATTGATCCTCCTGTTTGATGCAAAGACGCTCAGATACAGATTTTTCCTCCCGGTCTGACTCCTGAATTCGCTTTGCTGGTTTTAGCTTGTCTGATTGGCAGAAACAGCTGTATACTCAGAATCAAGCAGATAATGATAAAGTTCAACATCTAACTTTCAGTGCACTCTGCAAAATTCCTGTTGACCTAAATTGTGGTGATCTGCAGGTGGAGGAGTAGATATCTGCCCAAATAAAGCAGCTTTCTAACTGCGAAGTAAAACTCAAAGAATTTTCTGACTTTGGTCTTTGGGTCAGATTCTCTCAAAGGAAAGCTATTAAACTCATTTTCACCTTTCAATGTCTCACTCTTGGACACCTATAAAGTAGCTTTTCATGCTGAAAAACACCTGAATTATCTTGTACTGACATCCTTGTACAACTCAGCCTCTGCCTGAAATGACTCTTTAGATTTAAGGGTGTTACTTTTTACACAGCTTGGTAGGCATGTGACAGCCCAAAAGTAATGCCATTGTAAGGCTGGGCGATATGGGAAAAAGTTTATCATGATATATTTTTTCATATCAGTCGATATTGACATATATATCACAATATAAAAAATTTAATTTAACAGTGCCTATTGGTAGCATATCTTTTACAGTACAATAAGCTACTGCATCTGTGAGGTTTTTATGTCTCTTCGACATTTCGTCCCAAGGCGTTGCGCTAGAGAAAGTGGACGAAATAGTCGGCTGTTTCAGTTGCACAGGCGCCATGGGCTCCTTGCTCCACTCAGGACTTGTAACCTTTTGCATTGCACGTGCTCTGCCATGTTGCACTGCTTCAGGTGGTAAAAAGATTTGAGGTATTCCCCGACTTTGTGAGAACATGTACTCGACATAATTTGCAGTGGACATTACTCTGCTTCATGTCCGACCTGAAAAAACCAAAACACCTCCACACCACAGAAGTTTTCATGCCAGTGTTGTCGACGATGTCGTCATCTGTTGAGCCTTCATCTGCATTTCTGCCAGGGGTAGCACTCTCTTTCTTTGTATCTCACCAACAGTGCTGTCAGCTTCACATGTTAAAGTGCTACGGTTGCGTGTAGCTGCAGCCTGCTAATACAGTTGTTTTCTACTTGGTTCTAATTCAGCACATGACTGGTTCAGTGCAAAGTGGACCCGGAGCAACTCCCCTTTTCATTGGCCATTCCTATAGTCTACCAAAACATGGCAGAATGCTGACAATAGAAAAGGATATTGACCATGTTTTATATTGATATTGAGGGAAATTAATTTTTGATTTGTATTGTTATCGTTTTATCGCCCAGTCCTACTGCCATTGTAAGAACAACCTGAAGCATATCAGCCTCACTTCGGCTCCTTTGTCCACTTATATTAAGTCAGACACACCTTTGGGGTGTTACCTCTGACAGTTTGAACACCCATAACAGCAGCAAAGTCAGGATAATTATTACAATTATTGGGTCAAATAGTGGCCAAACCAACAGATGAGGTTCTGGAGCTCAAAGTGCTGAAAAGTGAATGTTGGTCCTGAAAGAAGAGCATGCATGGAGCTGTAGACTTACGCAGTGTCAGACTTTTACACGATGGAAAGGCTGAGCTGCACATGTTTCCATTGGGTAATACAGTCAGTTTCAACAAAAAAGTCTTATGTACTGTAACTTTTTTCTGTACATGTCTTAATTTCAGAGCTGTTTGCAGGGAGGAAGAGGAAACCTTGGACGATAACCTAACAAACATTAACAATCCTTACCCGAAACAAAAAACGCCTAAGTTACAATTTACTCGTGAAGTGACTGAACCGATTATTCTAAATGAAGTTTTACTTACCGTATGTATGTCCTTGAGTTTCCCTAAAGGTTAGGATTTTATTTCTGGAAGAAGAGGCTGTACCGAGCTGTAAAACAAACATGATCTTCCTGCAGCGAGAGCTCTGAAACACTCTGAACAGGTTTCTATTAATAAAAATAAAGTTCAGGGAAGAGGAGAGAGGAGTCAAGAGAGCTGCTGATTTGAGTCCCTGAAAGTGAATTTTGAAAACAGGTCAAAAACATCGGGCCTCAAGTGAGAACACTTCACAGATACAGGTGCTTTTTGTACTGCACACACAGATTTATCACCTGTGTCTGCCCTCACTCATATATATATAGTATATATCCCATATTTCTCTGTAACTTCTTGCGAATTTAACTTTGCTAACAAGCACTTCAGAAAATATAGATTCAAGACAAACACTAATTTAAGTGCAGGGGACCTTCGGAAGATGTGAAATGCATGTTCCTATTTCTTCCCTTTGAAAACACCGTAGTTTAGCTGCAATGGAAAATATACCCTGTGCTTTTGAATGGCACATATTGCTTTTGAAAACTCCCATTTTGCTCAGGTGACAAGTCCAAACTGGTTGTAAGACTTCACGAAAAACTATATCCACACTAGAAAACAGAAGAAAGAGTTTCACACAAACAGGACTTGTGTGAAACAAAGAGGAACAAACTAAAAGTCCTGAAAAGCCGAGGTGCTGTTGCCTTAACCAGGGATCACTGGACATCAGTGTTAAATCAAAATGTCTAGAATAAGTGTTACTGCTCACACTGGACATTAACACTGTAAAATCTCAAATTTTAGTGAATGTTTTTGTCCGTATAGCTTTTTTTCTGTCTGTGAAATGCCAGATTTTGTTTTAAAAACACCCTAAGTGATTGTCTCTACAACTTTTGTCTCATTTTCAGCAGTAAAAATCTTTAAATATTCTGTTAGTTTAATCAGAAGAGAGAAAATCTGAAGCTCATTTTTGCCTTTCAAACTTTGCTAACTCATTCAAATCGAATCAGATCGCTGCATCAGACGCGTTTTTATCGAGAGGCATCAATTCCGCTGAAATTGCAAACCTTTCATGGTGGATCTGCTTATCGTGATTTGTGTTTATTGTCGGAGGCGTCTGCTAATGGTTGATGAAATGTTTGCGGTTTTTAACAGAAGCAGCAGCAGCAGGAAACCACGGCTGAGATCAACACATCACACGGAGAGGGAGCTGCTGGCTGTTTGTTTTCATCTCCTGAAAAACCTCCTCTTTCTCTTATCGTCGTCTGCTTTCATTGTGACGCTTCAAACGCAGATTTAGGAAACGTCTCTGTCCCTGAAATACTTCTGCTGTTTGTTTTAAGCTGCTTGTTGCAGCAGATGGGAGGGGTTCGCCGCAGATAGCATCACGCCTGTTGTTTGAAGTCTGGTGACATTAGCTGATTTTTTGCATTTGTAGTAAACATGACCCATCTGTTGCTCTGAACAAACGCCAGGGATTTTGGTCTGACCTGGATCCGGTCTGCACTGAGTTTGACCCTAAATCCTCCCTGATTGTTTCCTTTTCAGAAAGCAGCGTCAAGCCAGACCTGGGGCTGAAAAACTCTGAGGTCGTCAGGTCCGTACGTTTGGTGGATCTCCTGAAGACAACAAAAGGACCAGAGTTTGAACTGGAGAGACGGCGCCCAAGAAGGTCGGTGTTTTTACACTCCGGAGTCAGAATCTGCCCCCAAGAGACCCTGAATGAGATCCTCGCCAGCCACCGAGCTTACTACCAGCTTAGAGGTACTTCATCTAAAATAACCTCCACCTTCATTCATGCATTCACAGACTTACGGATCAGAGATTTAACAGGAAAACCCAACATTTATTCAACTCTGTGTTCCAGAGAACCAATCAGGTTTAATGGGTTGATGTCCAGCTTTGCAGCAGGCAGATGTCCCTCCCTTTCGGTTTGGTAGATTAAACCCAATTTGATGGTATTGTTGGTAATCAAGCTGCAGGCAGAGACCATCCTGTAAAGTTTTAATGGCGGTGCATTCAAGGACATCCTGACAGCAAAACCTCCAGCAGCCAGTGTAGATAACCTGTGACTTTAGAAACTCCACTGCTGCAGTTACAGAACAGACAACAGCAAATGGATTCCTGCATGAGTTCCATCAGGGAGTCCAAAGGAAGTGACATCTCTTGTCTCTTCAATTTAATCAATATAGTATTCTATTACAAATGTGAAAGGATGAGTGGATTTCATCGTCTACAGTACATAATATCATTAAAAAATTCAGAGAATTTGGAGAAATCAAAAGGGACAAGGGCTAAAACCAAGACTCGGTGGTACTGATCTTCAGGCCCTCAGGCAGCACTGCATTAAAAACAGACAGGACTCTGAAGTGGAAATCACTGAATAGGCCTAAAATCACTTCTGATGTCCTACATCCAAAGTAGATATTGTTCTGTTCTGCATCCACAAATTTAGATCAAAACTGAACCATGCAAAGAGGAAAACACGCATGAACGTGATCCCAAAGCCAGATACTTCTCTGGACCTGAGAGAAAAACTGTCCTGAGCTCTAAAATATTAGAAATTGATATTCTTTTTGAAAATTATGCATGCCACATCCTCCATTAATGCTGAACAGTATCTGCGGATTTAGGAGCAACATCTGCTGCCATCCAGACAATGAGTTCGTTAGGGAAGACCTTCATATTTCAGCGAGACAATGACAAACCACATTCTGCAAGGATTACAACAGTATGGCTCTGTAGTAGAAGAGTCCTGGTCTGCCTGCAGTCTTGACTTGTCTCCCATTGAAAACATTTGAAGAGCAGACTCCTGGGCTCACTAACAGAGTGTAGCTCGGCATCATAGCATCACTTAGTGGGAAACTCCGATCATAGCGCAGAGGAAAATGACACATGACAGTGAAGAGGAGGGTAACAAGAGCAGGTCAGACCTCAGGGAGTAACCGGTACATGATCCACATTGGAGCCACCTGAGGCATCATGGGAGCTCTCAGGAGTGATGGAGTGAGTCACAGTGACTCATTCACCTCTTTCTAACAGGTCGTCAGTTATGAGTTTGTTCCTGTCCAGACGGCTCACTCTGCAGCCAGCAGTTTATTTTTCACTCACCCGTCTGATCACAGGAGCAGAACCACAGGACTCTTTTTTTCCTTTTAGCAGGTCCAGTTTTTCTGCAACCTGTGTTCACACTGTACTGCAGCGCTGCTTCACAATGTGTCAGTGTTCCTGCCAGGGAGAGGAGGATAAAAACCTTGAACTTGGTTTGACAGCTTAATTCTGTTCTGCACATTAAGCTTTTTATCTCCACTCTGATACGTATATTTCATCTTTTTCTGTTGCTTATCTTTTATCTGCTCTTCCTTTATCCTTCTTTTTGATCTTTTATCCTTATCGAATAGAGACTTAAAAGTCAGACATAAAGTGACACTAATGGATTTAGTTCAGAATCATGTTATGTTTATCCTGCAAGAAGAAGGTCTGCCTCCACTGCAGCATGCCACTCTCAGTTTTACGTTATAGTGTGCATATGAAAAAAGCTACCAGATGGAACTTTGTTTACATTTTATATCCTAAGAAAGCAACCAGGAAGTACTTTTTAACGTTAAACACAGTGCTCTCTTGATGCTTTCTTTTTTCTTTTTTTAACTTTACAGGAGGCTTTGTTAACTTTTTAGTAAGTGTAAGGGCATCCACAGGGTACTTTGCTTACATTTTACCCACCAAAAGAGCAGCCAAAAGGTGCACCGTTTGCTTTTTATTCACCAGAGGAGAAACTAGAAGGCTCTGTATTTACATTTAATTTACCAAAAGAAGTAAGCTGGGGGAACTTTGCTTTGGTTTTATTGACTGTAAATACACTCAGAGAGGAATTTGTTTATTATTTTAAACAGTAAAAATGCATCCAGGAGTACTTTGTTTACAATTATTTAAACAAACAAACAAAAAAAAAAACCAACAAATTTTATTTCCTAAGAAAGCAGCCTGGACCTACTTTTTGCTTCTCTTTGTAATATCGCATCTAGAGTGCTCTTAGTTTACATTTAGACACTTCAAGGGCATCCAGAGGGTACTTTGTTTCCATTTTTTAAAAACAAACAGACAAAAAAAAAAGAGGTAATTTTATTTCTTGAGAAAGCAGCCTGGAGATACCTTTTGCTTCTGTTAGTAAACAAATGTAAACATAGCATCTAGACGACTCTTAGTTTACATTTAGACACTTCAAGCACATCCAGAGGGTACTTTGTTTTCACTCAATACATTGTAAGAATAACATGATAAAAAACTCATTTATACTTCAGTCTTTAGGGTTGTATTTTTTTTTATTTCAAATCAGACATGATCTTTTTTGCACAAGTGTTACAAAAATCCAAATCCACAGAGACATCATATCTCTGTAGAGCCACCAGACGAATAGTTTGGACAGTTTAGACCTTCAGGAGGTGACACACGGGAGCTCTGCAGAGAGATCAGAGAGTGAACTGTGAATCCGTCACACTTTGTTTCACAGTGTGCTGCAGATTGTTACTGTGTGGACGAGCTCCTGTAGCTGTGTGTTTACTGCGGGAAGTCTAAGACTGTGGTATGTGTCTGTGTGCGTTTGTTTGGTCAGTTTGTCAGGAAGCCGTGTGGGAGGCATTCAGGATCTTCTTCGACAGGATCCCTGGGACGTCAGAGTACAAGCGATGGGTTCACACGTGTCAACACGAGTCCCTCTGCATCTCCGACCTCGCCAGAAACTTCAGCAGCTCCGAGGAGCACATGAGCATGATTCAGCGGGTAAGGAGACCACAGCGGGTTTATGGAGCTCTCTGCTTCCTTCACACTATGTTACAAGTATCCAACCTGTGTGCACAGAGATTTTATAGTACATCCACACAGTGCAGCTGTTTTATGAAAGTACCCCACCCATATAAAAAAAGACAGAATCTATTTGTGAGTGAAGGACACAGGGAACACTTCATTGATTTGAAAAATCCTTATCGAACTAGTGACCTCGCCAAACAGAAAACTCCAGAATCCCTGAACTGAGATGTTTAACGTTCAGAATTATTTCAGTTAGTTGACCGGAGATCGTGTGTGACTTCCTCAGTAAACATGCAAACATGTCGTTGTCACAGCATTAATCCTGGAGTCTGTCGAGCTGCCAGATGTCCTCATGCAGCCTCACTCTCTGAAGCAAACACTCTTCGATTATCGACTATACTCACAATATCTTAATGGCAGCTGGTAAAAATAACAATCAGCTGGTTGTTCATGTAGGTGAACAAAAAACACCAATATAAACAAACCTGCTGCAGAAAGATGAAAATGCACAAACACATGCAAAAAAAACAAGCTGTAAATGAAGACATGATAACAGATGTGCTCCAGGCCTGAGGGGGGCGCTCAGTGTTCTCAGTGTGTGTTCACACAGAGTAACGCTAGCATTCAAGTGTCTGCGGGGCGACACTGCTGCTTTCTTCCCTCAATATGACGTCTCTGTGAGAGTAAATAAATGTTTACTGGTGAACCAAAGTAAATGAACTGTGTCCGTGTTTCTGCTGCTACACTCAGATTGAACACCGCACACACAGGCTGGGGGATTGTTGGATTATGTAAGGATGTTTCCTGTTTTTCTGAGCACATTCAGCCCTTAACAATAATGAAGCAGTATAACAACACTAGAGACCACCTGAGTGTTGTTACTGACCATTTCCATCCCTTTATGGCCACAGAGTCTGTTCTCTAATGGCTGTTTCAGCACAATAACACTCAGAGGCCCGATTCTCTACAAGTGTAAAAAATGACGATGAGTTCAGGGAACTTTAGCAGCCCGAAGTTCTCAGATCTGCAAATCTTCAGTCTGAGCTGCTGATTATAAAGGGAAAAGTTAAGGTAAACAGGCTCCTCGCCAACAACTCGCCTCAAGTTGGACTGAACATTCAAACAAGTTTCACTGCCAAACAGACGTCACATTTTCTCTTCTGGGACACTAACCTGAGATTATTACTTAACTGCATTAAAAACAGACAGGACTCTGGAGTGGAAATCACTGCATTAGGCCAGAATCACACCTAGAATCCTACTGCCTACTGCCTGTGGATGCAGGTCTGTGCTCGGCTTATGAAACAACTATGCATCACTATCTTTGTATTTTAAATGCTTGAAATACAAAGACAGCACAGGCCTTGGTTTTCAGAGATATTAGTGGGGCAGGGTTCCACAGTTGTAGCTGTGCTGTGCTGCCGAGACTCTGAAGTAGATTTATCCTTTATGTTGATTCCTGCAGGCCGTTTAAAGGGTGAATAGCAACAGTAATACCAAAACATACCTATTTAAAACATAAAATGACTGTTTAGTGCACATCAGATCTGTCTTACATTTTAGTTTAATAAACCAAAAGGACTAAAAAGCACCATTACACTGACGATAAGCAAACTGAGAATAAAAACTGTCTGCATGCTAAAATCCTTGAGGGCTGTGAGTAAAATTGTACAATTTGGCTGAATTGACCCTTTAAAAAAAACACAGAAAGGAAAGTTTTCTTTTCTCATTAAAGTCCACACTCATTTTTCAAATGATACTGTCTAAATTTAATGGGTTTTATGGCCTGAAGGCTCTTTAAAATCCTTCAAGACTTCACAGACGGCTGCAGCAGAGTGTGTTTTTTTTCAACCATTACTAAACAACAAGTAATTTACACAGACTGCAGACATGTTGTCCTGCCTGTTGAGAGGAAAGAAAGCATGACTTAATGCATATTAATAAGTTTAATCTGCCATCAATCTGTAAACAAACCACTACGAGCCAAAGCAGCTGACACATGACATCATTATCACAAAGAGGATAATCACGTCGTCAATTAGAGCGTGAGTGTGAAAATGAGGGTGAGGATGTTTGTGTGAGAAAAACAAGGTGAATGATGTCTTTGTTTTTGAATTTACAGAGGATGAGCCGGAGGAGAGACGGCAGGCTGCCATCACGGTACGAGTGACTGATCATCACCTCCTTCTTTTAACCAGAAAAACACACACCACAACAACGTCAGGCTGTTTCTCCTGACTCCTAAAGACCGACTATTCTCCTCAGACTGACTTGTTTTTGATTCACGGACTGATTTGTACAAATTACTGTTTTAGATTCACCGAAAGCTTGATTCACTGATCCAGATCAAAACTTTATTTAGATGAAGAATTTCCACAAATTTTAATTTTTATTTATTTTTATTTTTTATTAAAAATGTAACCATAACAATACAGTGTATACATCTCAATACAATACATTTCTTTTCATTTTTCCAGCTCTATGTGTATTTTCACAAACATCCACAGATAATGTAGGATAAAATCAAAGAGAATAATCATAGTAATCATTGCAAATGAACAATGTCCACTCCAAAGTACAGATTTATAGGCACAAATTCTAGTCAGGGGCAGAATGACAGTATTTTGATATGGACAGGAAGTACTTACACTATTAACATAAACTGTCATTGCATCAATAAAGGTACCATCAGTTCCCATCTTACAATAAAGGTGGCTCTCTGAAGCCTTAGGGAAAATGTGATCTGCTCCATTTGATAAATCTCCCATACTTTTTGAATCCAGATATTGTATGAGGGAGGTTCTGTTTTCAACCGTCAAGTTTTTATTTTAAAGATTGATAATGAAGCCTGATTAAAAAATGAGGCTGTCCGCTCAGAAACTATTAGAAAGAGAATTAGAAGACCACCACAGCAGCATGGAATAATATAAGACTCAGTAAAAACTAAAGTTGATGGTAACTCATATAAATCAAAAGACCAAGATGCGATTCTGTTGGTGTTTTTGTTTCATTTGATCCTGATGCGTAACTGAAGATTAAACGGATCAAAAACAAACATTTCGTCAAAGCTCCATATAATGTTATTTTAGCTGCTTAAGATACATCCTGGTTCTTTTTTAATCTCTACAAAAAATCATGAATCCACTCTCAGCGGAGGATCTGCTTCTAACTTTGTTATCCGTGTAGTCATCAAAGTGTACAGAGATGTTATGATGATGAGGAGCTCTGCTGATTGGCTGCCTGCACTTGTCTGACAGGAAAGGTGCAGACAAATTCATTTCAAACAATTACAGATTTAGAGACCCCAAAATTTAATGGAAAAATGATTGTTTATAGTTCAACCATAGACTGTATATAAAATGGATGACGTCTGCCTCCTCGCTGGGTGAAGCCACCCGAGAACAGCGCCCTCTGGTGACGGGCTGCAGTATAGGTCATAAATCCTGCTTCCTCCAGCAATCCCTATGGAGCTGTGGACAAACTTTGGAAATTAATTACACAGAATATAATTTTTTTCTCCCCTCTGCTTGCATTATTGACATGTAGTTACTGTAAGACTGGTTTGTGTTCAAGTCTTCTGTACAGCTCCATTTTTAAAAGTTATTAGGGGGTTCGTGTTTTCTGTGATTGGCACTTGATACAGTCTATGGGCGTACAAAGATTGCATAGCTCACCCGGGGGATACGCTGTTTGAGACAAGCGTCATCATGGTGACTACGAATACGTACAATGCTACTGCGCAACTGGTGGAGTGCGTACATCCCTGCTGCGCAATGTTAGTTTCAGGAAGTGGAGAAAAATCGTGGAAATACAGAGAGCTTTTTGGCTTCAAATCCATATACTAGCAGAATGCAGAACCAGGTTGTCCATAGTATATACAGTGTATGAGTTCGACACAGTGGTAAAACGAAGTCTTCTCACAGCGTACTTGTTTAGGGGAAAATTGGCTGATCAGAGCATATGAATGTAGAGGCAGAAAAACTTAAAAACAAAGCTGGCGAGTGCCCCAGAAGAATCTGCACCAGGACACATACAAACCAAAAATAAGCAGCTAGCAAGAGAGCAGTAAACCTGTCTCACTCAGATCTATGAGATCTTTAGTCTGCCACTCTGATACAAACCACACAAGTGTTTTTGCAGGCGTGTCTTTGCTCCTGTTGTCCCCAAACCTCATTGTTTGGGGCTTTGTTTTCCCAGTAGATCGGCTATAGAAACAAGGCAGAGGCTTTTCATTCCTAAATTTAAAGGTTGCTGGGCTGAAAGTTCAAGCTGTATGTACAGACAGAAAAAAACAGTTTTACATTATATGGGACCTTTTAAAGCAGATTAAATGACCCCTTTTTGCTCCATTGAAGAATACATTTGGAGCATTTTTCATTTGGTCATAGGAGCTGATTTTACCACCATATTCTAACTATACCTGTAAGAAAATATAATTTTTCCTCTCAAAGTACTGAAAAAAGTCTTTTTATGTTGCAATATAATGATTCAGGTTTGCACCATAAAGTTTCTCCACAGTCCCCCTCAGGCATTATTTAACATTTCGAGATGTCATCATTTGAATAAGTGCACAGTCTGCTGATGAATCTGAGCATTAACAAGAAAAAATTTGCATTTTCTTCTAATAACTAAATGTCACTTTTGTGCAGATGTCTCATCACTTGTTAATAATTACACTCTTGAGAGTATTTAAACTTGTTTTCCTTCCACTTTATACCAGTTTACTGCTGAATTTCTGGCTGAATTGATCTTAAAAATAGAAACATGAAGTCTTGGGTGTGAGGAAATTAAATTTCAGAGGAGTTTGGAGAAATAATCCAGATCACGACTTCATCACAGGGTTACCACTTCAGTAAAAAATAAAAGAGAGGTCTTAACAAGCAGGTAGATGAAAAAAGCAGTGTTTGCACCCTCTCTGCAAGGCCAGTGCTCACATTTATCCTCCTCTTTGTGAAGTCCACCGTTAATCAAGCTTATTTTTGAGGCGACCTCATTCACTGAAGCACATTCATACACAAATAAGAGAAAAAGCAATTTTTCAAAAGAGTATCCTATGAACTCTCCATTCTACAGCTCTTGTTTAAATATAGGCCCATTCAGATTGAGACGAGTGAAATGGTTCATACTTTATCTTTTAATTTGTCTTTTTCAGAGGAGTTTTGTTTCCTTCAGTGACACAGAAGACCCCTGAGAGAGCAGGTAAAAAAAAGTTCAGTTTTATTATCTGAAGTGGAAATGATTTTAATGTAATAACTCTCATATTTTCCCGCTGTTAAATTTAGCAATGGAGATGCTCTGTGCTCTACACCATGAAATGTCCTTTAAGTCTTATGTTTGTGGATTAATGAGTGTGGTCTCTTTGGCATGTATATTAGTGAAGAAAAATCTGACATCAGACAAATGCACCAACCAAGAAAAAAGCTGAATTGCCTTTTAAGTTCCTGCCTATATCTCTGCTAAATACAGGGTTTACACTGTTAAAAAAAAAAGACAATCTATTCACGAGTTTGTATTCTTAATTTGGTGAACATGAAAATTAAAATAGCTATTATTTAACAAGAAAATACATGTCAGACCAACAATGTGCACCTCAATAGAGACCAAATATGTAATTCTAAATTAGCAGAATTCGCAATTTGTTGTTTGCACAACAAAGTAGGAAAAATTCCCATAATGCAGTTCTGACATTGACCCATGAGGCCTGCCGAAGAAGACCTATGGGGTTTACCACGTTCCGTCGCAAGGGCAAGTTCTGGCTACTTGGCTACTTTTTCAGTTTAGCTAACAATGCTTGTCTATTTACATTGCTTGTCTGCTGGATAATTATCTTTCTCTTCCCTCAAGACGTATTTCTCAGCCGCGTGTTTAATCCCACATGTAACTGAGCAGGCACTCGCTGCAGAGAAAGCCGTTAACTCTAGCCATTAGCAAGCAGCTGCTAGCCGACAGCTAGGGCTGCTAAATGTTTATATTGGCAAAACGAAGAATAAATGGTCGTGACAAATAAAAAATAATTGAGCAAATAAAAGTGTTTATATCAGCAAAACGAAGAATAAATAGTAGTGACTATTCACCAAACAGCGTAAACGTAATTGATACATTGATGAAATGTCACTTATGATAATGACCTAGCGAATCGTTGACTCAATAAAAAAATCTTACTACAAAAGGTTGCCTTTAATTTTAAGTTTTCTCAATTATTCTTTTTATTATAGTGGATTGAAAACACACAGAGTAGAAGTTTTGAAGCTTTTGTGAATCAGAAATTTAACTTTGATGCTTCAACTTTAATTTACTTTTCATTCTATCACTAAAGTCGCTTCAACGGTAACCCCGAAGGCAGAGGTTCGGACCGACGCCCCACCTGCAGCGACAACAACTCTCCCCGCCAGCACCACGGTCCTCCTCAGCCCTGCGAGTGCCTCTCCAAGCCCTGGCCCCGATCAGACCCAGCCGGTCGAGGAGGTCAAAGAGGTACCAACAAGCTCTCACATTCAAATTTCAGTATTTAGTCCACACTCTTATCTGCAGCGAGGAGCACGAGGAGGCTGCAGCTCAATGAGGAGCTCCTCTGAGGGCTGGAAATGTCACTCTCAAGCACTGCCACTCGTTCTCCTGCTATTATGCATGAGTAGGAGTTAAACTGTGGGTGCAAATTTAAATATAGGAGTCAGAATTTAAAGCTTTGTGTTTGTCTGTCTGTTTTCTTCTTTCAGCTTTAGATTCATGGAGTTAAAATATATTTAAGACCAGGACTTACGTGGATTAAGCACCTTGATTAAAGACTTATTGATTCCATGAGTTAAGCGTGTTGTCAATCAGGCGGTTTCTGCATTGGAGAAGTCTGTAGTTTGTTGTTGTGGTAACGTCATGGAAGTTCAAACGTATAGAGGTCTATTCGTCGTCCTTTGGCTTCTGCCATGTTAGCTGCAGAAGTTTGTGTTGGTTGGATTCCGGCCCGGGCGATTATGTAACAGTCTGATTTCCACGTTAATGATAAGTGGTTAACTCAGTTTGTGAAGCTGTCAGAGCTAACTGGACTGAAACATAACCTGCTTAGTAAAGGGATTAAATTTAAGTCTTTTTACGCCTCAGCCAGGTGAAAGTCATTGATGGAGTGGACGTGGTGCAGCGTCTCCTCTTCTCCTGTTATTATGAATGAAATATCCCTGAAATATTTCAAATAACTGTTTGTAGATTTGGCAGAAACTTCCACTTTAGCCGAGTTTCAACTTTTCAATTTGAAGTTTAACGATCAAATCCTCCAGACAGTGGTTGTGGTTATTACTTAGTAATTAACTTGTCGTTTTCTCTCAGCCCCCCATCCATGTATTTCAGGTATTGTAGACTCTCTCGCTCTCTTTCTCTCTCTCTCTGCAGAGACTTGATTCTGGCTCAGGTGTTTGTGTAACAGCCTGATTTCTAAGTTAGCTGTCAATAAGCCCTGTTTGTGTTTTAAGTCCTTAAGCTTGTGAACTCGTGTTCTTGGGTGCCACACTTTATTCACCGATCGCCCAGATACAGTTGGCAGACTCTGACTTTAACTTCTCCAAACGTGATACAACAGAACATAAAATCATGTTGGCCAAAGGTGGTTATTTTGGTCACAAATTCGAGTCATGTCTGAAAACACTGAGGGAAAAGTTCAAGTTGAATATCAAGTGTCTGGAAGGCAAGTCCAAATCAGGTTTCAAATCTCCAAGTCCAAGTCAAATCCCAAATCCCATGTATCTCCAGGGTCAGGTCCAAGACCAGCTTGACTTTCCATGATGCAATTAAAGTCAAATATCAAAAGTCAAAGGGACAAGTTGAAATCAAATCCCGAGTTTGTGAGGGGCAAGACCAAGTTAAGTCCAAGGTCTGCTAAGGGTAGGTCCGAGTTAAGTGTCAAGTCTGTGGGTGGCAAGTCCTCTTAAGGAATTACGTTGAAGTAAAATCCAAAGTTTCATAGTTGGCATGTCTTTGTCAAGTCCCACTTATCTGAGGGGCATGTCCAAGTCAGAGCTCTAGTCTCTAAGGAAATCACAAAACTCTGAGGGCAAGTCCTTGTTTAGTCTCAAGTACCCTGTAGATAAGTCATGGTCAAATCTGAAGGCAAGTTCAAGTCTAGGTTAAGGCTTCTGTGTTTGATAACAGGTCCCAGTCAAGGTGCTAGTTTCTTATGGTGTATAAAAGTCACCATAACCAAACAGAAAAGAAACAATGGGGAGTTTTCATGGATAGAAGTACAGAAGAGGATGAGGGCCACATGAAGAGAAAAAAAATAATTACAGGAAGGAGATCAAAGTTGAAATTTCAAGATTAAAAAAGCGAAATTATGTCAATGAAGTCGAATTTTCGAGATTAAGAATTGATTACAAAATGTCGAAATGTCGTGAATAATGTCAAAATTTTGAGATTAAAAAAATTAAAATTTTGAGATCAAAGTCGAAATTTCAACTTTATTCACCTAATTTCAGTTTTTTTGATCTTGAAATTTCAAGTTAAATGTTGAAATTCCGAATTTTTTCCTTTCAATTTTTTTAATTTCAACATTTAACTTGAAATTTTGACTTTAATCTCAAAATGGAAATTAAAAAATCTCCCTCCTCCAATTATTTTTCTCTCTTCTTGTGGCCTTTATCCTATTTTGTATAGAAGACACATTCTTATTGATATTAATGTTATACTCTCCATGATCAGACAGTTCGGGAACTTTTTCAGTGCTTTACGTGTGTTACTGTTAAATCCAGGTATAAGTCCAGTTTTAATACAAATATATATTGTCCGAGTCACATTTGTATGTATTAATAATGCGAAACACTTTTATATTTCTGGTTGTTTTGTGTTTGCACTGTGGCAGATTATTGACCCAAACTAAGTTCCTCAGTCCTGGACTCCGTGTGCAACTATCGGTAACTTTCAAAAACAAACTTTCCAAAACCTTGAAAAAGTGCAGCGAAGCACAGAAAGCTGCCAGGTCCTTCTAATGAGTATACCACAAGGCTTCCTCACTTTGAGCTCAGAGATTGATCATGTGACCTTGCACACTCAGTATGAGCTCACAGCAGTCTGTCCTCTTTAGCAGCTCTTTAGCAGAGAGGACAGTTTACCTGCTGCAGGTAACAAGGACCTCTGCAGCGCGGGCCCAGCTGTTGCTGTCCCTGCTCTAAAGTTCAGTCCAGACTCCGAGTGAGTTTGTTCCAGCAGCAGATGGTTGAGGCAGAGCATTGAGGTTGATCCAGAGATAATTAGTGCTCTCACCTGACTGTGAGTGATCGGGTTTGGTCTACAGGTGAGAGGACTTACCTTACAGGTCATGTATTTATATAACTCCTCGAAGGATGGCTCACTCTGATTCAGATCAGATTAAATACCGTCACTAAGAGTCCTCTACAATTCAGGGGAATAATTCAAGTAATGATGGTTATTTTGTTGGAGTAGCTGATGGGTTTTTTAAGGTCCATATGAAACGACTTTTCTGTTAGCAATAATTGAATATAAGGGGATGTTGAAAGGACACATATCCCTGTTATTGTTGTCGACTCTCTCTTTCCCTCCATCACAGTTACCTGATGTCTGGAGTTATTTGTTATTTTGCTGTAGAACATACTGTGTGTTTTCCTCTTTCCTCGCTGCTGACTTGTTTGTTTTGTCTTGAAGGACTTGGAGCTTCCTAACCTGGTCCCCGAGAGCCTGACAGAGCACATCGTGGAGTTCAGTATCGACCTGGTGGATCCAGGTTACCGAGAGCTGCTAGACGACCCTGATGATACAGAATCCCCTCAGTACATCGACCTGGCTCACCACCTGCAGGACCAGGTGGGACTTCTCTATTTTTAATGTGCTTCTGTGGTGTGAATGTGTTTATTCCAAGGTTTAGAGAACAGTCATTTGTAAATGCCACTGTATTATAATAATAATATCATTTTTCCAAATGTCCTTTGAGGGAATGTTTGTGTTTGTAGAAAAATGAGAAAATGATGAAAATCAGGGCTGAAGTCGGAATACAGATTTTCATTTTTAGCAAATCATTCAAATCCTTCATTTACTGGAAGAAAATTCCAAGACAACTTATCAAATGCTCAAATCTTGCTTTATGAAACATTTATGCTCATTTTAAATTTCATACCAGCAGCACGTGTCAAAAAAGCTGATACAGGGAGAACAAAACCCTGAGAAACCACTGTCCAAACATCGTTCATCACTGCATCCACAAATGAGGTTTAAACAGAACCATGCAAAGAGGAGACCAGATAGAAACAGGATCCAGAATCATCAGAGACTTCTCTGGTCCTGAGCTCATTTAAGGTGGACCAAGGGGGAAAAGAAAACGGTCATGCGGTCTGAAGAATCAAAATCTGACATTCATTTTGGAAATTCTGGACGCTGCGTCCTCCTCTCTAAAAAGTGGATGGTCCACCCCACTTTTTCTCAGCTCCCGGTTCAAATCCAGCATCCCTGAGGGTATAGGGATCAACAGAGTCCATGTCATGGGTAGCTTCCACATCTGTGAAGTAGGGCTGGGCAATAAACCAAAAATTTACCGATACAGAAATTTACAACAATAACCAACGTCATTTTGCCCATATCGGTATATTCTGTGTAAATAAAAGTTGGTTTTGGAGGTGTGTAGGTAGGCTATGGTCTCATGTTTATTTAAGACGCTGTCTTACGCTGGAGACCTGACTCCACCCCATCTAGTCCGTAACAAAGAGGGAAGGACAGGTGAGGAGATGGAGGACGGTTCAAAAGTTGTAGCGGCTGAAGTAGACGAAGTTAATGTGGGAGAGGGTGAGCAGCTTGTGGAGTAGTTATAGTCTATTTATCATTACCGACGTGAAGTGCTCAATATATCGTGATACTGATTGGAGGCCATATCGCCCAGCCCTACTTTGAAGGCTCCATTAATACTAAACAATATGTAGAAATCCTCTAACAGACAAGAGTGAAACAACATTTCACTTTCAGTCTCCAGAACCTGGTCTGCTGGATTCACTAAGGTTCACAGAGAGTTGGTTAGAGAAGAGCTGAGAACACACGATGAGAAACATGAACCTGGAACAGCTTTTTTTATTGTTTTTTTTTTATTGTTTTCACATTGAATACATTGTCTTTGCACTAACAATCACTCTAGTGTCAGTAAGCGGTGACCTGTGCAGGCGTGCATCAGCAGTATTTTCCTCACCTCTCCTGTCGGGATTATCTCCTGTACTCAGGTTTTCAGTCAGGTTTCTCAGGTCTGTGAGTCTCCTCTCTGTCCTGATCGTAAAGAGACTCACACTTCAGTCAGTCGGGTCAGGGCAGCAGTGATCGCACTTCTCCTCCTCGGGGTTTTTCTTTCACTGTAGCCCTAAAAGCAATTCCTGTAAATAAACGAAGTACTTTAGTGTCATTTCCTGGTTTAAAAGACTCTTAGTTGGTGTTGGGAGCATGTAAGGACGCACACGTTTCTCAGCAGGATGTTCTCTAATGAGGCCTGTAAAGACGATTACGTCATAAGAGTGTTCAGGTGCTTAAATGTCCCAAAGATAGATATCAATGAGGGATTCCCATTCATGCAGCCCTTTTTATACCCTCAGGCTGGAGTCCTGCCAGGTTATTAACGAGCTCCTGTTTGACGCCTCCCAGTTAATTACATTAGCCTCCACAGAGGGAGGGTGATTATGAGGCGTCCTAACTGACGTTCACGCCATTAAAAAAAAGTCTTTTCTGCTTTCCAGATGCTGCCTGTTTTTGACAAACTTCAGGGATTCAGAGGCCTGCGTGTGCGGCGGATCAGGTGAGTCCTGAGCATCGCGGATATTAAAGGGGCGTGAGGGAGCAGATGAGAACGAGGGGTGCATGCTTAAAAAAGAAAATCTAATCTCCAGCGTGGCCACGGCGGCGGCGAGACATTCCACTGAGCCGGGATAATTTCATTAAATTTGAAATGAGCGGATGGTTTGGCACAGACAGCCATTTGAATAGATAAGAGGCTGCCTGTCAGAGGGATTGTGTCAGACGCTGCTGCTGCTGCAGGCCGGCGTTTGGTGCCATGACTAACCAGACTGAAGACGGGGAGAGATTTTTCACTTATCCTCTTTTCAGGGACAGTGACATGACTGTGATTCTCTTACACTGATCAGCCTCAACATTACAACCACTGACAGGTCAAGGAAGCATCACCGTGTTTCGTCTTGCACCTGCGAGGACGTGATCGACGAGGCAGCAGGTGAACTTTCAGTTTTGGAAGTTAGAAGTGGTCTGCAGGGGTCAGAACCTACTGAAGTGGTCCAAAGAAGAAACACAGTGACACAGATAACTGATGGCCCAGTGAATAAGTGAAAGCTTGATCTTATCGAAGGGTGAGCATCAGGGTTTATATGTTTGGTGCAGATCAGTCAGAGTGTCCATGCAGTGCTCAGTCCACCCCAACTTGTAACTTCCAGACCTCAGGGGAGACCCACTGTAGTTATCCCCCCACTATCCTGGGGGTCAGTCCTTATTTATCAGTCCAGTCTCCGCCTGAAACACTTTGTTTTGGCTGCTCTCTCACTGATATAAAGAAAGACACAGTTTGGGGAGTTACTTTTTCCTCTAGGGGCAGACAGCAGTGGCACCAGAGACCACATACACATAAAGTCAAAGAAGCCAATTTTATAGCAAAAAGAAAAAAAAAACAGTTTCATTTCTCTCTTTTCACTTTCTGTACAGGGAGTGAAAGATTTTTGTTTCTAAGATTTTAAGGGTACGAAGATGACGGATCAAAGCTGACCTGACTGAGAGACAGACTCTTAGTTTCAAGAAAGCTAAAATCCTGTCTTTGGGAGGTCAACCAAACAAAAATTAGGTCTATTTAAGAGTAACATTTTTTTTGGAACAGGAAAAAATGTGGGGTATTGCTTTTTATTTTTTATTTTTTCAATAACACATTTTCTAGTGAGGTTGTGGAGAAACATAAAAAGTTGCTCCTAAGTGATCCAGAACTGAAAATGCTCAAAACTCCAATTTTCAGAGACAACTTTAAGCTTTTTTTCTCCTCTCATCTCTTTGGTAATTAGATAAATGATTAATCAAAAAGAAATGAATAAAACTGTTTTCCTCTAATAAAAAATAGATCCAAACACTTGAGAAGAAAATACTGTATTTATCCTTGAATGAAGAAAAACAGCTGCAGTTCTAAGTTTAAGACTACATTAAACCATCATAAATGACCCAGAAATGAAACACTAATGAAGAACTGACATGATGAAACACTAAACCCCCTCTGTCTGTGCTCAGTTTTTTGATCAGTTTTAAATCTTAAACAATATAAAACAGTTTTAAGACCAGAATCCCAGCCCTCCTGTCCTCTTTGCTCTAAAATAAAAAACTCCCCGATACTGTCGCTCTCAGATAACGTTGACAAATCCTCTGTCAGACCGAGCACCAAACTGACGGATGTTTGATCGCCATCACTGCTGACAGTCGTTTTACAGAAGAGACAGTGAATTGACGGCACATTTTACTGCTGTCAGTCTCTACAGACACAGACACATCAACCTGCTCTGCACAAATACAGTCTGTAAAGGATGGATGGATGGATGATACACTAAGACTTCCTCACCAGATGCATATTTAAGGTTTTAGGATTAATTTTCTGTTCAATTTTCTGATGGTGTTTGCATGGTAGAGCGTTTGTAATGTTATAATTGGATCTTAAAGCTTAAATTGTTGGATTTTGTTTCATGTCTGACTCATCTTTGAGCATCTTGTTGGATGTAAATGTTCTTCTTTTCATCCCTTGGATTTTACGTGACTCATAGATTCATAAAAGTATCAAAAATCAAATCCACATGGTCCAGATGAAGCCACTTAATGGAGCTTTAAATGGCTCAGTGTATTTGTTTTCACTGTGTCATGATTAAAAGGACTTAATACTGAGTTTTTTTTTGGTCCACCAACATGCTCACAGTTTTTTTTGTCTTGAGGTTGAAGTGACTCATTTTCCTGATCTTTCTCCTCCATGTTTCTCTTTTCTCTCCAACGGCAGCGAGACTCGGGACACTGAAGGGTAAATGACACTCACGACAGATTTAAGTCTTCCTGTAGACTCCACCCTCATGTTTGTGTTAGTGCAGCCTCCCGCATTTGGATCAAAGTCAGATGCAGAAAAGAAATAAAGGGGGATCATTTTTCTGCAGACAGCTGAAATTGCACAGTTAACTGCAGGAACCACTGGTCTCCTGAAACTAGAGGAAGTTTTAGATGAATTTTCCTCTTGTTGAAGGTTAAAATGAGTCGTAATGTGCCGATTGTTCCTCCAAAGTTTGCTCCAGTCCTCATCTTTTCCCTGGTTATCAGAGCCGGCAGGTGAGACGGAAAGGCTTGTGGATACAGTAATTGTGGAGCTGCTCCCCTCCTTGTTAATTTGCCTTCCCCCATGGTGTCTGGCGCTGTCACGGCCAATAATACTGAGACGAGGCCTCAGCGGGAGCTCGTCCTCTAATCTCATGACGGATTCACAGCCTCTCTTGCTTTTGTCTGCCAGACTGGAGCACTCAGGGATGATGAGGGAAAAACCTCCTCAGACTCACATCATGTCTCAGACTCAGACTCAGTTTACTTCACAGAGACCAACAATTTAGAGAAACCCCCAAAACATTGACCTCAGTTTGGTGTGATGTGCTCCTCCTCTGTTTTCCTCATTAGAATTTGACTTTATTCTGGTTTCTTTAAGATCACATTAGAAACTCGGATTTATAGCTGTAAAATGTCATCCTCTGAGTTACTTTGACTCTTGCTGTAGTTGTTCTGTTTCTTGTAGTTCTTTCCTGTCCATTTGTAGTTTTTTAGGTCTCATTATGGTTTCATTGGATCTATTTTCAGTCATCTTGTGTCTTTTTTTTTTGTTGCTTTAAGTCCGTTGACAACCTCTTACAGCAGTTACATGTCATTTTTGGACAGTTTGCATCCCCCCTGTACCTTTTAGTGTCCTTTTGCACCGGTCAGTTGTTTTTTTGAGACTCTTTGTGGTTGTTCTGTGTTACCTTTTCTTGCTCTGTATTTTAGTTAAGTCTCAAAGGATGTTTTGTGTCTGTGTTTAGTTTTATGTCTTCTTGCTACTGTTTTACTTATGTAGGTGAATTTTCTTGCATATCTTTGGCATCCCTTTGTTGTTGTTGTTTGCCTATATTTGTCTTTTTTGCTGCTATTCTGATTACATTACATTTCCAGCTTCCTCTGGAGTTTGTTTCCTGTGTGTATGTGTCAGGTTTTTTGTTTTTTTGCAGTTGGTTTTCTTGTTTTTGCACTTTTTTACTCTGGGTCTCTCGGTTCCTTTCGGACCTCTTCTTGTCATTTGTGTCTTTTTAGAGTTGCTCTGGGTCTCTTTGTGATAAGTTCTCGTAAATTTGTCTTTTAGCTTTAAATTGATTTTATTTTTGGCTTTAAGGTTATTATTGCATTTATTTGCAGTTTTCTTGTGCTGGTTTTAAAGTTGCATTTGGCCTCAGTAGATGATTTTTTTAATCTATCTGTAGTTATGCGTATTTTTGTGTCTTTTTGATTGCATATATATGGAAAACAACACCCTTTTGTATTGATATTCTCTGTTTTAGTAGTTTTATGTATCATTTTAGGGTTTGTTTTGTCTATTCAAGCAAATATTCTTGCATATCATTGCTGGCATTAACGTCTTTGAGGTCTCTTTGTTGTCATTTCTCTTGGTACATAGTTGTGTTGTGCCAATTTGCTGCTGTTTGCTACTGTTTGTGGAAATTTTTTTATTATTTTTTTTTATTTTTGAACAAGAGTAGACATAAAATAATTACATATTAAAAACAAAGAAGTTCAGCGAAACTGTGCAGGAGAGGAAAGAAGCCAAAAGGACTTATACAGATTCCTCCCTATCAGTACAAGTGAATCAAAACATGCTAAATCTTAAACAACACAACATCAAATAAACTACATGACAAGAAAATAAAGAAACATGTGCAAGATAAGTGGATAAGCAGCTCTGTTTTATGTATTTCCTGTACAGGAGTTTTTTTTTTTAACCATCACAAACAAAGTTTTCCTCTTTTTAGTGTCTCAGATAGCTTTTTATTAAAATTTATTGATACAGGAGCTGATGTGGTCTTTTAACCCTCACACAGACTCTCATATTTACAGTTGAAGGTGCAACACGTCTCCAAAAAAAGATCTCTGTGCATTTTCAGGTTGGATGAAAGTGAAGAAAATAGCTGCAGATAAAGAGATCTTTAAAGACTGAAGGTAAAGATTGAAGCTGTTTGGTTTGAGTTGATCTGCTTCAGATAAACATTTCGCGGCACATTAGTGTCTTTGAAAAGTTAAAACGCTGTAATTAGGCGTGTCTGCGCAGCATCAGAGCAGAAACAAGAACAAAGAAAAGCTCCACTCAGATGTGAGAAATAGATGCTGGCTGACGAAATCATCTGCAACAGGTGAGCTTCGTTCAACATAAAGAGGTGAGCTTGCATGTGCGTACTGCTGCAGGTTCCTTACATGATAAAGCATCATGATGGAGAGGGGACGAGGTTTACAGGGGTGTTTACAGACTCACTCAGGTCCTCTGAAGACAAAGATCTGACTGTGAAGAAAGAAAGTGATGTTTGAAACTTAGAACAGCTGCAGAAATCTAATGAAGAAACTTTTGTTTGGCAGACAAAAGAAACTAAAAACATATCATCACTATTCTGATCAGAGCCTCGCGTCTGTAAATCAGCTTGTTCTCTGCCGACGACGGCGACTGCAAAGAATATTAATGAAGCTTTAATGCAGTCTGACTTTCTGTCAGGCTTATTTAATGTGAACAAACCCCTCTGAGTTTATTTTTTTTGGTGTTACTGTCTCTGTCTCTGTCTGTTTTGTTTGCTCTGTTGTTATTTTTGTTTGACCTTGCAGCAGTTTTTCTTACTATTCTTTCTTTTGAATCTGTAAGTTTTGGCGTGACTTTGCAGCACTTTGTCCTGTTTTTATAAACATTTTGCAGATCTTTGATGCTGTGTTGTGTCTGCTGGGGGGGGTTTGCTCAAGTTTCCTACAGTTTTTCTTATTTTTGTAAACATCTTGCATCTCTATATTGCCATTTTTCCACTGTACAGAGCACAAACAGCAGATTTTTATGTTCATTTTTGAAGACGTATTGCTTCTATTTGTTGCTATCGTCTCTGTTTTTGTTTCTGTTTAGTATCTAATTGTAGATTTGAGTGTGACTTTGCAGAAGTCTGTTCTATTTTTTAGGATATATTGTATTTATTTGTAATAATTTTGGTTTCTTGGATAGTCCTTTGAGCAGCTTTGTTTGTCGTTAACTTGCCATCTTTGATATTATGTTGTTGTGGGTTTGTAGATTTTGGTGTCACTTTGCAGACGTCTTTTTTTAATTTGAGGACATTTTGTATGCTTGTTGCTGATTTGAATGGTTGTTGCTGCAGTTTTGTGTCTTCTAGCAGATTTTGTAAATGTTTGTTGTAATTTGTCTCTTGTTTGTGAATGCTTTTTATCTATCTGCTGATGTTTGGGTCATTTGCAGTGGTTTGCTCGTCTCTGTAGATATTTTGCATTTCTTTGTTGCAGCTCTGTGTCATTTTTTGTTTTTTTTGTGACACTGCAGTCATCAATTTTGTATTAATTTGTTGCCGTATTGTGCATAGTTGTTGTTATGTCATGTATTTGTTAGTTTTTGTGTCTTTTGCAGTTGTTTGCTTGTCTTAATAGATATGTTTCATCTCTCTGTCCCTCTGTTTCGTGTCTCTTTGTGGTCATTGGTGCATCCTTGTTGTAGCTAACCTTGATATCCTGCCTGTGCTCCTCTGACTGCAGCACCACACAGCTTTTCATTACCTCTGTCCGACACCTGCTGGGTGTTAAACTGTGCTCCGGCTCTCTGCACTTCATGCTGAGAGTCCAAATCCCTTTAATCCTGTGTCATTTGGAGTTATTAACATTTTCATTACCCGTGACACTGACAAATTAGAGCTTTTGTGTTGAATATCTGGAAATAAATGGAGTTATAGATTAGATTTTTACTGGCCAAAAGCAGAAAATCACCTCGGCGGAGGGCCGGTATCTGCAGCGGGTTGATATAGATTAGAAAATCAATAGCGTTAGGGTGAAGAATGAGAGCCATCAACTCAGACAGATAATATCTCCTTCTCAGGCTGGGAGGAATCACGGTGCACTACTCTCTGCTCTTTGAGAATAACATCCCTAAAATCAGCCCTGAGACTCTGGACACGGTGGGCACACTGGACTCTGCAGGCGGCTCAGCGCTCAGAGGAATGGTGGCCAAGGCTTTACGGGAGGACGCCCTGCTGCCCATCGACCTGGACTCAATTAACTTTGAACGAGGTGCAGCTGCTTATCCTCTAAAGAAATGACTCTTTATTTTTCACCTTTATAAAGCTGCACTCTGGATGAATATTACCAATAATTTTTTCTGCTCTTTTGTTTTAACAGAGACTGTTCTCCTTCCTGCTCTGACATATACCTCCTCAGTAACAATACCAAAAGAGGTAAGCTTCTTCAGTGCTGCTGAAACCAACAGTGGTACATCATTATCAGTCATTAATGGTGTTTAATTAAGCTGCGTTTCCACCCAGCAGTCCAGTTCAGCTCAACACGGTACTGCTGATGTACATAATTAAGTTTCCTCTCTCCAAAGTTGAGTTAAAAAACAAACACTTTTCTCCATTTCTTATAAAAAACACGCTTTAAAATTTCCCAACACGGGGTTAATGGAGCACCAGAAATCTCAGAGGGGCACAAGACTGAGTCAGCTCTGAGGCTGATGTATGATTATACATATGCTGGAAAGTTTGTACAGTCTGTAGATAATGCTGTGTTATAGATTTATCCTGGTATGGATGTGGTGACAGCATGATGTGTTTCAGGTCATGAGACTGACATGAAACGTATGCACATGTACATCTTAGGACAGGTTTTCTTTGATTTAAGGGGAAAGGTTGATGGCCACAGTTTTAAAGTATCAGAATCTGGAGTTGCCCTAGTGAGGTTTTTACATGTTTAATACTGTACATATTAACAGAGTAAAATTGGTGTGACTCGTAATGGTGCATGAAAGTTCAGGGACAAGAAAAAAGCAATGTTGAGACTAACACTGAACTTTGCGAGCTTTTGAATTTGCATAGACACATAAACTGTGATGCAGGAACACAGTTATGAAAAACTGTTGACAGCCTCTCCTTTAATCATGTCGTAAATCTATCTCTGCTCAGTCTGCAGAGCCTGCTTCTTACACTGAGCTGGAAGTTTCACCCAAAGAGCCTGAAGTTATTAAGCCTGATCTGGAGGTTCCCCTCGGCCCCACAGAAGAGGGAGAAGATGCCCTTATGACCCCGTCAGGCCCCTCATCTCCTCCGGATCATGAGCTAGTGCCGGTGACAGTGGGGACGGCGCAGAGCAGCAGTCCTCCCCCTGCCCCCGAAGAGGATATTACTGATGAGTCAGAGGCAATTTATGAGAGCGAGCCTGAGCCATCCAGTGAAGAAGAGGAGGAAGAGGAATTACCAATCATTACACACGAGATTGAAACCATTCATCATGACAAAACCGGGGAACTTGTGAGGCACTACATCCCGACTCCTCCTGAGGATTTGGAGCTGGAGACAGAAGCTCCATACATCAGTTTGTCTCCCAACCTGATATCAGAGGAAGACCTTGCACCTGTGGATGAAGACAGCAACGATCTTAGTGTAAATGTTGTAACTACCTCTACTTATGATTTATTAACTACAGCTCCTGCTGGAGAGGAGCTGACCGGACAGGAACTCACAGTTACAACACTCTCGGAAATCACCGGCCAGCCGCCCACAGAGCCGATAATTGATGTTGAGGAAGACGAGGAAGTTAACGTCCTTCCAGATGAAGAAGAAGCTGATGTTGACACTGATGAAGTCCTAGAGACTGCGGCGCCAGCTGTTTCAGAAGTTTCTTTTGAATCACTGGAGCCAGACAGTGAGTCAGTGGTGGAACAAGAAGAGGCAGAAGAAACAGAAGTAAAGGAGGAAGAAGCTGAGGTTGCAGAACCAGAGGAAAAAGTAGCTGAAGAGACAGAAGCACCTGTAGTTTTAGAAGAGGAGGAAGAAGGTGAGGAAGAGGAGGTAGGGGAGGTCATAGAACCAGAGGAAGGGGTACCTGAAATCTCAGAGGAAGAGGTAGATGTAGGTGAGGTTTTAGAGCCAGAAGAAGAAAAAGTCATAGAGGAAGTAGAAGAAGTCGCAGAACTAGAGGAAGAAGAACCCAACGTGTTGGAACCAGCCATAGAGGAAGCTGAGGTTTCAGAGCCAGATGTAGAAGAACCTGATGAGTCAGATCTTACAGAGGATGTAGCTGAGCCAGAAGGAGAAGAAGAAGAAGAGGTACAAAAAGGTTCAGAACCAGAAGAGGAAGTGCAAGAGGTCTTAGAAGCAGAGGAAGAAGAAGCTGAGCCAGTTGGAGACTTAGCTGAAGAAAAGGGAGAAGTACAAGAAGTTTCTGAACCAGAAGAAGAGGTAGCTGAAGTTACAGAACCAGAGGAAGACGTTTCTGAAGAGGAGGATGTGGTGAATGTAGAGGAAGGTGTAGAGCCAGAAGAAGAAGAAGTAGAAGAGGCTGGAGAAGTTTCAGAGCCAGAACTACCTGAACCTGAAGTTGAGATTGTTGAGGAAGAAGAGGATGAAGAAGAGGAGGTTCAGTGGCCAGAAATAGAAACAGTTGAAGTTACAGAGGCGGCAGAAGAAGAAACAGAAGAAGGTGAAGCTGCAGGCCCTGAGCCTGAAGAGGGTGATAAGGTGTCAGAACAAGCTCCAGAGTCAGAAGACGAGTTAAATCTTGATGGGGATGCAGAAGAAGAAGAAGAAGTATTAATGCCTGAAGTTCCTGAACCGGAGGCAAAGGAGGAACTGGTTGATGTTGTTGAACCTGTAGAAGAACAAGAGGAGGCAGAAGACCTTGAACCAGAGGAGGAAGCTGAGGTACCAGAGGAGGAGGTGGTTGAGATTTTGGAAGAAGAAGAAGGAGAAGGTGTGGTGGCGGTATCTGAACTAACACCTGAATCTGCACCAGAGCCAGAAGATGCAGAGACTGAGGAGGAGGTAGTTGAGATTGCAGAATCCGTGGACGAACCAGAAACAAGTGAAGAGGTTGAGGTCACTGAAACAGCACCAGAACCTGAAGAAGAGGAACCACTACCAGAGGAAGAGGATGTTAAAGTAGAAGGAGCAGAAGAAGTGGTTGCAGTTCTTGAGAAAGAACCACAACCTCCAACAGAAGCGGTGGTAATTTATGAGGAAGAGGAAGAAGAGGCAGCTGAGATACCTGAAGAAGCAGTAGAAGATAATGTTGTGCCAGCTGAAGAGCTACCCAAGGTTTCAGAACCAGAATCAGAAGATGTTGTTGCCCCAGATGCAGAACCAGTCTCAGAGGAGAAGATAGTCACCCTTTTAGAACCAGAACCTGAGGATGAAGTCACTGAACAACCAGCTGTGTCATTTACAATCATTCAGTCCCTGGACAGCTTAGAACATCTTCACTTCGAGGAGGACACCGTTCGGGTTGACAAAGAATTTGAGTACCTTCCTCCAGTCAATCCTGAGATTCCCCATCCGCACCAGGAGGATAACTTAACCATCCTGCCAGAAGAAACTCAGCCCTCTGAAGAGGAACCAGCTGAACCAGACCAAGAGTATCCCGTCATTGATGGCATTACTGAGGAAGGTGCTGAGAGTGAAGACACGCAGGTGTTTGGTGACACTGGTCCTGTCCTTACCCCAGAAACAGAGACTGATGAAGGGCTTGAAGAAACCTCTGATATCACAGGTGAGGAAGCAGCATTTGTTGCCTGGCAGAGCATGAAATGATAAGTGAATAAGGCGTGTACTAATGCTGATAGAGCTGTGCACTGACATTCCTGAAAATAATTAAAGATCAGACGGTTATTTTGAGATGCTGCTGTTGGGTTAAAGGTGAACTCCTCCTGCTCATTTAGAAAACTGTAAACCTCAACACACTCAGTACTCAAGAAGCAGCAACCTCTGGTGTTAAAAACTAAAGCTGGTGCAGAGGTGGCAAAAAACTGCAGTTTCTTGAGTGTCCACTTGAGGCTGTTGCCAAAAGCAAAGTAATCTCTGATAGGTCACATGTTAAAATGTTCATTATGTTGATAGCTTATTTTAGGATTTGGGCCGCACAGTAGTTAGCACCATTGCCTTGACTTGGACGTTTCTGGTGTGGGCTTTTCTATGTGGAGTTTGCGTGTTCAACCAGAGTATGCATATGTTCCTTACATATACTCTGTCCTGATGGGGCGCTCACACCAAGCACAAGGAAAATCATCTACTAGATCACGTGAATGAATTGTATTTACTCGCTTCATTGATGCGTCAACGGTCATTTCAACGGTAATCCCTACCAATTCAACCGGTGGGATCAGGTGATAGAGAAAGGTTTTTTACAATTTACCAGGTAATCCCACCTCCTCACTCCCTTGCCTCCAGACGAGCTCCTTTTTATTCCGGTTTTGGTTATTGAAAGTAAAGATATCATATAATTCAGGGCACCCACACTCCGACACAATCAGTTTGTCCTCCATTTTAGATACCAGTGAACAACCGTTGGTTCTCATACGTCATTCAGCAACCTTCTGCTGATTAGTTATGGCAATGCGAATATCCACTCAAATTTAGACATTTCTAACTCATGCCCAATTCGCATCATTTGCGCCGCCAGAGTTATAGGAGCGTCTAATCGTGTCTGTGCATTGACTTAACATGTAATTCCTTCGCACAAATGAATTTAATCGCGCTCGGTTGTGGAGACTGTAAGACTTGCTTATTAGGCTAATTGGTTGCTCTTAATTGCCTGTAGATGTGAGTGCATTTGCTTCTGATTTTATGCATTTGAATATAGGCCTTAATAAGCTTTCCTTGACTTTTGGAGCCAGCCTCTAGTGGACACTAAAAGAATTGCACTATTCGGCTTTTGTTTATTGGCTTTATTCTATATTGGAGGTCTCTGTTTAGATTCAAAAGGATCCAGGAATATCAAATTTCTCCGGGTCGATAAATAAAGTTCTTCTTATCTTATCTCAAAATATTATTTTAAGTGAAAAGTTTTGGTAGTGACAGTAAAAATTCAGCTTGGTGCAGTTTGGCAGTGATTTGTGTAATTCATTCACCTTTGTGTCATGTGAAAATCCTTTAGCAGCACTCATGTCTAAACTGGTGTTTTTTTTCCCTGACATTTCAAAGTGGTGACAGCTCCAGAGCAGCTGGAGACATCAGAGGACAATGATGTAGCAGAGGATTTGCAAGAGGAGACACAAGAAACAGACTCTAGTGTAACAGAAGAACCGGTTTCAGACATCTCCACTACTCTGACAGCCTCTGTGGATGTGTATGCACCCATCCCGTCTATTGACACTGGACTCTTTGAAGTAGCAGAGCTTCCTGTATCCCCCGAGGTCTCAGAGGAAGATGTCTCAGAGCCAGAGAAGAGTGAACCAGCTGTCATCATTATCGATGAGGAGTTGGAAACGCCAGTGCAAAAAGAAGTTCAAAGCCAAACCATCCTGCCAGCAGCGACTGAAGACATCGTTGATGAGTCTGTGAGGGATCTGGCTGAGGAGCTGGATAAAATGGACATACCAGCCACGGATCCAAGCCAACTGGTGGAGGAGGGGAGCAGCTTTTTACCTATAGAGGAGGAACTCAGCACCATCAGTGTGACAGCCCCACCGCCTATTAAATACCTGACCACGCCTACAATGACCACAGCAGGCCAGGGTAAGGAGCTGGTGGTGTTCCTCAGCCTGCGTGTCACCAACATGGACTTCTCTGAAGACCTCTTCAACAAGACGTCTCCAGAGTACAGGTCTCTGGAGAACAGGTTTTTACAGCTGGTGAGTACATCAGAGAGCTCATATTCTGTTTGCATTATCAACCTTTTCAAGTCATTAGTGAATAACTAATGCCTGGTCCATATTTCTTCGAACTCTTTTGGCGTTGAAACGAAACTTTTTTATTTGTATTCCCACTCTGAAGCAGTAGCTGTTAACAGAGGTAATAAGTTTTTAATGGATGTGGTCATCCATAACACCATCTGTTGGCGATCTCAGCCTCAGATTCTTAACATCTCTGGAAGGGAATAAAATCAAATCTGGCTCAGGAAATGTTTTGGCAGAGAGGATTGAATTATTTTGGTCAAACTCCAAATTTCAAAGGCCAGTCTGACCTCTCAATATTTCTCAGTGCTGGTTGAATTAAAGACCTGGCCCAAACTTCAGGATTCATATTCTTATGACGCACTAACTCATAAATATGGAAAATGTCAAAATGAAGGTGTGAGGCCTTTGTTTCTTCAAAGGACAAAGATCAGTTTTACTTTGACGTCAGTGTGGCCTTGAAAGAGACTTTTCTTGTCTATGCAGACTCAGAAATTTCTGGATGGAGTGTTTCAAAGTTGGCAGAGGAATAGTTTAAACCAACAGACATATTGATCTGGTTTTGGTGATCAATTGTCTAGGCTGGTCCACAGGAAGCACACCTCCTTATGTGGTGGTTATCGATTCTTGATGGGCAGAGATGCATACTAATTAATGGTTGATTTTTTTTTTTCAGTGGCTGATGCTGATACATGTTATTAGACAGCAGCTTGGTCAATGGACGATACATAATGCTGATATCACAATGTGGTTGTTTTTGCTTGTTTTTGAATTTTTTTTTTGCATTTCAGAAAACAAAACAATTCAAAAAACCCAACAAACTGAGAAAAAAATGCCAAAACCCTGTGAATATTAATCCACTGAGGCACCTCCTCTGCTGTTGTAGTTAAAGAGGAATTTGCGATTGAACCCTTACTTCGTCCTCAAGCTTTCCACATGTTCTCATGTTGTGATTATCCACTTACAATCTTAGATTACAGCACAGGTCCTCCATTGTTGTGGAAAATCATCACTGTATTCATTTACTGAGATCGAGAGAATCATTCAATGGTCAGGTTACGTTCAAATTTCCCTCTGCTGGATCTAGCTAGCAGCTATTTCAGACAGCCTGGTGTACTTTGAATTGAAATGGCTTGTTAAAGTTTGGAACTTTTTCCATCATACTGAATTTCAGATAAAAAGAGACCGCCCTGTTCAGTTGAACTATGTCACTTCTGTAACTGATTATAGTCTTATGTTTTTAAAGGCTTTTTAGGAAAGTGTAATACTCAGAAATAATACAGGTAACGTAAAGTTAAGCTTGATTTTGATGGTAGGGCTACATTTTTATTTACCTCTGGGTCACAGATGGTTTGTTTTAATTGTCTAATGCTCAGCATTTTCATTACCCCAGCTCTCTAAAGGTGTCCCATCTGGTAGGTAAATAAAGGATAAAAAACTGCCTGCACTGTGGCTGTTTACCTGGTGTTTAAGCTGCTCTCAGTCACTGTGATTTAAGACACTTCTTATACGTAGAAAATCCTCCGAAATGATAGAGTTTAGTGACCTTAGGAAATTCAGTTCCTTTCCGACAATTTCTGACAATTAGGGCAGGTGAAAAAATCAATTTGGTGGTGCGTGACCTTTCTTGGTGAGTTTCATTAAGACTTGAGAGGTAAAACAGAAACTCTGAGACGATGAATGAGCAGGCACAGCTGCGGTTCATTTGTACTTTGGATTTCTGTCTGACAGAGTTCCCCTCATGCCCTCAGAGTCAGACTTGCAGCTCTCTGGGATGTGAATGGATATGTTTTGATGTTTTGGATGAATAGAGGAAGTGGGGAAATAATTTCAAGCTCAGGCAGGTACAATACGGCCTTCATTTTTACTGCAAACAATGACGGGGCTAAATTAATGAGGTAGGGCGAGCGGTGCAGCAGGATTCCTGACTTAAATAGGAGACCACACGGTGAGTTATTGTGGATCTACTCTGTGAGAAAAATACTAAAAGACTTGAGCTGGGTGCAGGGTTATTTTCCTCAAATTTGAACACTGAACAGAGTCTGTTCAGGACAACAGAAAGAAATGTTCTCTATTATTTAAGACGATTTGCAACTTCAGTTTGGCAAAATTTACAGTCAAATTATGTTTCTAAAGAGGGTGAACTTTTCTTTGTACCTCCTTATTAGCATGAACACTCAGTCGACAGGTCATACACACTGTCTTTGTTATTTGCTGTTTATTATTGCCGTTTACTCTCTTCTGGATGTAACTTTAATTAGCCTATTCTCCTTAAACAAGAGTGTAAATCCTTTAAATGATAAGCCAGGCAGCCGTTGAATGCAGACACCCTGTTAGCTGTCTGCTTCCAGCTTGTTAAATCATTTGGATTAAAGTAGTGATGAGCTGGTTTCTCAGTGCGCTTTAAGTACAAGGCGCACAGTTTACTCAGTTTCCTTTAAAGCAGCAAGAAATAAGAATAATCATTGTTTTTGTTTGGTGCTAAAAATATTCAAAGAATTGAGCGTACCGTAGTGTTAGCAGGCCTAAACCTAATTCTAACCTGAGTCAAATGCCTAGGCATCCATCCAGCTAGATCATTGATGTAAGTCTACACTTCACTGTGGACGTATCTCTGAGCCAGTGGTCAGGGGTGTATCCAGACTGTTCGAGGATTAGGGTTAAAGACAGGTTGAAAGGGCACTGACTGTGAGCTGTTTTAGATTTATTTATTTCAAGACACAAAAATTGCACAATAACAGTCTAGAAGAACATCCACAGGACACTGAAGTTACATTTGACTCTTAACAAGTACCTAATACACTTAAAAAAGTATATTGGAATACAAGTTTTTATTCAGATTAACATTAATAAAATGATTTTATCCCTTTTTGTTCAAAGAATATGAATAGACTTTGCCGGCATGTTTCGTGATATCCTCTGTTTTTAGCCTCAGAAAGGAGATTTAAATCACAGCTCTATATCTATCTTTATCAAGGACCATGTCCTCGATCAATACTCTGACAGCTATAATTCATCAGTGAAACACTTGTATGGGGACGTCTCCTGTGGCTGTTATTAGAAAGCTGTGGCTCTATCATGAATGTCCCAAGTGTGAATATTAAACTTGCAGAGGTAGATCATGCACAGTCAGCATGCCTCCGCTTTATAACCCCAGAAACTCTTTATTCTCGTTGTGTTCCTCAGAGCCTTGTCGATTTTTTTTGAACATGAAAAAAATGAAGACTAGGCATAAATCAATCAGAACATGTGCACACTCATGTAGTTTTGATTAATCTACCAATTATTCTGTATTCAGGCTAGAAACTGGGAAAAATAGATGCTGAGACCACCATTTGTTTGTTTAAGATCACTGGGGTTATGGTGGACTGTGGCATTAATAACAACACAAGCACTCTGTGTCTGTTTATAGATTTTAGCTGGAAGTTGAATGGAATCAGTTTTTTTTTCCAATATGGCAACAAACACTGTTGAGCTTCACCCCCATGACTGTTTATATTGTCAATAAGATCTACAAACTCCCCATGGGGGTCTTTTCAAAATAAAACCCCAACACCTCTACAGCAGGAACAGTGTGTAAAATGTTGCTAAAACAGATTATGATGGTTTGCAAACAACAAGAACAAAAAAATAATAAATGGCAATAAGGCAAAAGAGCACATCAGGTGTGTATACCAAAAGACAAGCAAAGTTTCTAAAAAGTTGTTGGAGGAGCAACCAAACAGGTAAAAAGTTGGACCAAAACCAAGATGGTTTTGGATCTATCTGTGGTTGTCACTAAAGTTGGTATAACTAGAGAAGCAAGCAGTCTGCAACATTCATCTCTCGATGGGGTGTCTAACTCGATGTTATGGTGTGTTTGACCCTAACTTAGTTTTATGCCGGAATATCCCTTTAAAAACAGACAAGACTCTGGAGTGGAAATCACTGCATGGACTCAGAATCAACTCAGTTCATCACTGCATCCATTAATGAGGTTAGAACTGAACCATGAAAGAATATAGAATAGAATAGAATATTCCTTTATTGATCCCCCATGGGGGAAATTTTTTTGCCACAGCAGCATCACAGACAAGAGTAAACCAGATAGAAACTGGATCCAGTCCTGTGGTTTGACAAATTAAGATTTGACATTCTTTGTCACACTGGATGCCACATTTTCCACATAACGCTAAACATTACATACAGGTTTTGGAACAATATATTGTATCATCAAACCAATCAGAGTATTTACAAAAAACCTGCCACACTGTAGTTTGTATTTAGATAATGTATTTTACAGTAAACCCACAGCTCTAAATGAAAGCACAAAGCATGTGATCCTCTTTTGTTATCAAACTAGTCAGTGTGGCCTTTGGTCCCGCTGCCTGGTTTTTAATAACCCTTCTGTATCTCAGATTGCAGGTTACCATAGAAACAATGCTGATGCTTATTGTTGCATTGACCCGATGGTGAAGCTGAAACAGGTGTGGGTCAAACAGACTACAATACACTGCATGGAGCTTTAAACACAGCTTTTGTCTCATCAGTGCTAAGTGGTCATTACACAAGCTGCACAACATCATGTCGAGTTAGAAAGGAGGAAAATCAGTTTGAAAGACAAAATCAACCTTGAACTGTGAGTTGAAGTCAAGGTGATTGACATCAGAACAGAGAGGAGCGTCAGCTTCATTATCAGTGGATCAAATCCACACAAATCAACTCAAAAATACAAGAATACATTCATCAAAATCTAAGAAGAATAAAAGGGAGGAAGCTGTACTATTATTTATAACAACATTAAGTTACATAGTCAGAGACAAATTAAGATATGCTGTTCAGCAACATCACAGTAAATCTATAATACATTCAACTTTAAAGTTCTCAGAGTGATGGGAGTGTGAAGCTAGAATCTGAATATTTCCCCATTTAAATGTCTCAATTTATGTATTTTTATTGCCAATCATAGTAAATAAAATAACAGATATAACCTAAATGTCATGACTTACTTAAAAAATACAATATCAGTCCTGTTTTTTCTGCCTCTTTTGGACGTAAATATGATGGAGAATAAATGTCGAATCATTTCATCTTTCTGTTCTGCAACATCAAGCAGTTTCCAACAGTTGAAACTAATATATTTTTCATCAGTGACGGGACATTATATGGTGGGCTGTTTCAGTCAGGCAAATTTATGTAAATTACAGACGTTGCTCATCAGACACTGACGTCAGGAGTTCAATCACCATTTACCCTGTGAATAGTCACTCTTCGTTATGATTCCAGACCACCGTGGCGCTCTCTCCCGCCCTGACAGCTTTAGGCTCAAGACTCCTACCAGCGAGCTGTAGGGGGTGGAGGTCTTTGTGATTAAAGGAGCCTAAGGACTGAACAGGATGTTTTTAATTAGTTTTATGTATCTATGTGAAGGGTGGAAAAACTACACACTATAGTGAAATGAATACCAGGTTTTTTTCTGCTGCATCAGTATTTTAGCACAGCCCTGAAGCTGAGAAACTCTGAGGGACTTTTTCTCGCTGCTAAGTGTGGAGGACAGTCTTTAATGGGTTTAGGAGCCATTATAGATATTAAACTATGGAATCAAACCAGCATCCTCTGCTCTTTCATTGTAACCTCAGGTCTGCTGACGACAGGGGAAAATGAATTCAGAAGCTGAAACACTCTGTTATTATCACATGAATAGAATATACTGGCTCAGGCCGATATATCGCCCTGTAAAATAAAAGGCTCTAAATCCTTTAGAGAGCCTCATTTCCTGAATAGATTTTACTATTCATTTGCTGAGCGGTTTTGTTAACTGCATCAATAGAGGTAATTATGTATGGCCATATGGGAATCAGAGAAACAAAACTGTTGAGTGTTCTGCTATTTTCATTTTCATTGTGTGCCATGCAAAAATGTAGCTCCTCTGAGGCTTTTTGAAGACAGGGAAAGAGTCAAACTTGATTTAGATAGACTCATTTGTTGATGTGGTGTAAATTTGAATTTACGGCTTAAAAAACCGACAGAAGAAATAAATGAAAGGAACTGATGACTAAAAACAAACTGAGGCAATCGTTAGTCATCTCGGTGAGCAGTGTGCCGCTTAACTGCATCTCTCCAGTAAACAACATAATCACATCAGCGGCAGTCGCTGCCAGTACCACTTATAAATGTATTTATCATTTCAAGACACACACGCACACAAACAGCAGCTCCAAAATAGATGCTCTTTCTCAGCCTTAAACATTTGTGAAATGCAGAAAAAACACTCATGATGGGTGTGAATTGATCAAACTTTAACCCTTTGAGTGCCGCTGCCTGGCTGGGTTTGACATCTGGATGAGTCTTCAATAATTCAACAAACTTAAGATAATTTTAAGAAGTACAGTTTTGCAAATATCCCAGCCCCATTAGAACATGGGTGCTTAGCCTTAAAAGTTAAAAAGGTGTAAATCTTTACTGTCTGGATGTGACTCCTCATCTGTACCTGTAACAATGTGACAATGTGACAATCGGCACATTTACATATTATAAAAAAAAATCTAGCTCGTTCCATTATTTAAATCGAAACTGGATTTTAAAAATACATGATAACTCTAAAGTCTGACTCAAATTGCACAATGTAAAGTGTATGTGCAGTCAGACTAAAACTGGCTGAAGCGTTCTCCACAGTTTGCATGCTGATCGTTTCAATGTGCTGAAAGAAGTCGTTAGCCTCTTAAAAACACGTTTGTCGATTGTTTTTGTACATGATGTAATAAGACCAAGTAAGAGCTATTGGGGAGCATATTGCCGAGGTGGACACAATTTTGTAAATAGTTGATTCTTTCCTGGTGCTTGTAAAGGACGAGAAAAATAGTCCAGTTAAATTTCTTTAACAGGATTATCATGTGAAATGTGAAAAAAATAAAAAAAATAAAAAGTACCGGGCCCAGAATGCTTCCCTGTGGAACGCCATTGTCAGTACTACAGACATAGGTCATAAAGCATCATCTTACTAATAACTAACTAAATAGCCATGCATCGACTTAAATCAGCTTATCAAATTAAATCACCATCTCATTATTTAAACTTATTTAACAAAGACTTAGCTAACCAAACAACCAGCTAACTCAGTGGTCCCCTTTTTTGTACCATGGACCAGTTTCATGCAGGAAACTTTTTCCAAGGACTGTGTAGGGGTGTGGAGGTTCCAATAACAAAAACCTTAATCATAGTATATAATCGGGATACAACTATTACATTTTATATTAGGCACTTTTCATTACACTTTAACATCAACTCACCATAATGCAGAATTAATTCTTTCTCTCGAACTTTGTTTCTGGCTCATTTTTGTAAGGGCTAGCTTGTGTTGCTGATGCAGAAAGAAATGACGTGCCGAAGAGTCAAGCGTGATAGTGAGGCGATGGCGCAAGTGGTGGTCTTTCAAAATAAGATACTGCGAGGACGGATGAAAAGAAAATAAATTATTTAATCATCATTATTTTTTTGCGGCCCTGTACTAATTGATCCACGGATCGTAGCAGTCCGGGGCTTGGTGGGTGGGGACCTCTAAGCTAACTGACATTAGTGACACAGCTATCTAAACTAACGCATCTAATAAAACAAAACCAAACTGAGTTAACTTACTTTATTGAAGTCAGCATCGACAGTTTAGTTACTGAACTGTATTAGAGAATCTGCTTTTACAATCAAAGAACTGATCAACCAAGTTACCAACCAAATGAGTAACCAACTAACCTCACAATTTGCCACAGTCATGACTAAGTAACCCACAAACAACAAGCTTACTAACCATCCAACAAACAAACAAATAAACGAACTAACCAATGAGCCATCCAAATAACAACTAGCTTAATAATACCAGTCACTGAACTTAATTAACTAGATTAATCAGTACTTAAAAGTGCAATCTCAGCAACAGCTTTTTCATTAGTATTTTAGCCAATCAGTCTCTTTAGTTTCATACACAGAATATGATCTGTAACATAACCAAAGCATGTCTAAATATTACCAGAGTTTAATTCTTCATGAACTAATAACACTGAATACAAAATCTGGAGATATCTGATCTAAATATCCTCCATTAGTTATTGTTAGGCCTGTCACGATAACAAATTTTGCTGGACGATAATTGTGCTACAAATTATTGCCGATAAACGATATTATTGACACCGTTTTTTAAATTATAGATAATGATATTAAATGGCATAATAATGCGAGTACACCCTGTCAAAAGTGATAAACTTTAATTTCACCCACGAAGAAGACGTAACGTTGACGAGCTAAACATAAGTCGGAGATGACTAAAATGTGACGAGACGAAAGTGCGTTTACGTTGATGGGACGAGACGAAAATGACGAACAGAGTTGCAAAACTCAGTCAGTTAAACGCTAAACATATAGGAGCAGCTTCAGTCCGCTCTGACAGCTCTCATCAGCCTGCTGTGCTCCTCCAACACACAGACACACACGCGCGCGCGCGCGCACACACACGTGGAGTTTTGTGGTTGGCGAAAACAAAACTGGTTTAAAGCCGAAATATTCCCACACTTGGGCTGTTGCGTTCGGTTTAGACACCTTAGCTGTCGTGTTCATTCTGTTTGCTTGCTTTTCACTCACGACGCTCACTTGCAGCACTGTATCCAAAAGTCTGTGTCTGTGTGCCTGTGCGCGCCTACGTGTACCTGTGCGCGCGCCCCCCCGTGACAAAGATACTGAATGACTGACAGGAGGGTTCACTAACTCCGTTCATTCCGCTATAGAGCCAACGCCCCCAGGTGCCGAGAACAATGCGCAGAGTGAGACCTCTTCTCTCATCCAGCGTGTTTGGTAGCGAGAGAGGAGGAAAACAAACGCACGTCAATTATCGAGGCTGGCACAATGACCGACCTCGTTTTTATTTACCGAGCGATAAGGCGATTTATTGATTATCGCGACAGGCCTAGTTATTGTACAGAAAATTAATCTATAACTAATAACATTAATGAAGCATGAGCACATATTTCACCTGAATGTGAAAGATTAGGTGGAGTACTAGTAAAGCTCGAAAATGTGCCTCTTGAAAGAGATCATGTCGATTTAAAATCAGTAAGAATTTCATTGTTTAAATAAATATCTCAACGTTAAATTTGATTAAAAATAACTCCTCATGTGGACCGTGCAGCCTTGATTCAGTCGCCTCTTTAAAAACATGCCTTTCCTCTCATTCCTCACATCAGCACTAAAACTGTGTTTGACATCTGGCTCACTGAGGATTAACTAAACCAACAAGACGATTATTTCCCCCAAAGCGGCTTTTCCTCGTGCAGATTTTCAGATGATTTAAAGTCTTCTGCAGTCTTTACAACTGGAGCAAAAATGAACAAATTGGTCGTAAATCATAAAATTCAAAGTTTTTGCATGAAAAGATCTGAGAGGTTAAACTTTGGTCTGTCAACTGTAACAAATCTCCCTATAGAGAGGGGAGATTAGATGATTATTTACCCCAATTTTAAGTTCTGTTGCATTGTTTTGGTAAATGTTTTTTGTTAAAGTTACACTTTTTGAAAAGAGCACGGTGCATTTTCAGCCTAGCATCTTTCTCATGTGAATTAGTGATTCAGTTAATGTGTAACAGATGAGGCAATTTGACAAATGACACTAAACACTTGGTCATTAATATCAAATTATCTGTTGATGTGTTTAACAGCTTGCTTCCTCTCAGTCTCCCTCCTTCTTTCAGGATCACAACAGTGTCAGAATAATTAAAACCGGTTGTAAACTGCTGTTTATCACTCTGTGTCTGTCTGCAGCTGCTGCCGTACCTGCAGGCCAACCTGACGGGCTTCATGGATCTGGAGATCCTGAACTTCAGGAAGGGCAGCGTGGTCGTCAACAGCAGGATGAAGTTTGCTAAGACAGTGCCGTATAACGTCACCGAGGCCGTCCACTGCGTCCTGGAGGAGTTCTGCGCTGCTGCCAGAAACTTGCAGATCCAGATTGACAAGCAGTCTCTGGATATCGAACCAGGTACTCGCCATGATCCCGCAGCTTTCTTCCTCTAAGAATCACAAAGTTGTCAGTATTCTCCCGCTGCATCAGATCATTTAGGACAAGATGAAACTATTTTAAAGTGCGCTCTTCCAGATAAACTAAGCTAACAGTATTTCATACTAAACTAATATAGACCCTTTCTAAAAAAATTGAATATCATGAAAAAGTTTATTTCCATAATTTCATTCAAAAAGTTAAACTTTCATAGATTATAGATTTAGGGCCAACAATTTAAATGATTTCAAGTATTTATTTGTTAATTTTTACATAATTTGGGATTCCAGCTCATAAAACCCACAAAAACAGAAATAAAAAAAGAAATCAACCAAAATATGTTACTTTCAAAACAATATGTCAATCTTCAATACTTGGTTGGGACTCCGCCATGGCATTAAGGCAATCAGCCTGTGGCATTGCCTGGGAGTTATGGAAGCCCAGATTTCTTTGATGCTTGCTGTCTGCTCTTCTGTGTTTTTGGGTTTGGTGTCCTTCATTTTCCTCTTGATAAAACCCCTTAGATTCTCAATGGGGTTTAGGTCCGCCGAGTTGGCTGGCCAGTTAAGCACTGTGATGTCAAACCAGGTTTTGGTGCTTCTGGCGGTATGGGCAGGGACCAGGTCCTGCTGGAAGATTAAATCTGCATCTTCATACAGATTCTCAGCAAAAGGAACCATGAAGTCCTCTAAAACATTCTGGTAGACTGTTGCAGTGACCTTGGATTTAAGAAAGCAGGGTTACCAACTCCTGCACCCCAAATCATGACTGACTGTAGATATTTCACACTGGACCTCAAGCAGCTTGGGTTCTGTTCCTCACCCATCTTCCTCCAAACCCTTGGGCCTTGATTCCCCAATGAAAGGCACTTTACTTGCATCGGAGAAGAGGACCTTGGACTGCTGGCCAACAGTCCAGTCCTTCTCCTTCTTGGCCCGGTTGAGACGCCTCCTATGTTGGCTCAGGCTCAGAAGTGGTTCCACCCAAGAAACCCGACAGTTGTAGCCCATCTTCCAGATGCGTCTGAATGTGGTGGTTTTTTGAAGCTGTGACTCCCGCCTCATTCCACTCTTTCTGGATCTCTGCCAGATTCTTGAATCTTCTCTGGGTTTTATGAGCTGGAAGCCTAAATTATGTAAAAATAAACAAATAAATAGTTGAAATCATTTAAATTGTGGGCCCTGAATCTATAATCTATGAAACTTTAACTTTTTGAATGAAATTATGGAAATAAATGAACTTTTCAATGTTATTCTAATTTTTTGGAAAGGGTCTCGATATGATGTTGTGATCACGAAAAATGCACGTATTCATGCCAGAACCTGAAATAAGGACCGATTATAGGGGGAACTGGTTTCATAGAGAATCCACCAACAGAGCCAATGAAGAAAACTGATGGAAATAATGTGATCCCATTCTTAGATCACTTTTCAACAGCGTCTCTTCCTGTTTTTCAGAGGATATCTCTCTGTGATTTTATAGTAGTGAGAATAGACTTTGGTATGAACATCTAAGCTGTGAGTTTTATCTCCTATGATTCCTACTTCCTGCTGTGATATTATATGAAATCCGCAGTATGAACAAACCTTTGAATGCCTTTAGATGATGCTCCATGTTCCAGCAGCAGCCGAGTGATATATCGTCTGATATCTTTTTATGTGCATGATAAAACACAAACTAGCGTCTTGGTAATAAGTCCCATTGTTGAATCAGCTCTGCCGCTTTGTATGCATCCCATCCTTCACAGACTGTGTATTGTAATATTCTCTGCAGATGAGATGCAGGCAGAGGGAGCAGAGATCACAAACACGTTCAAATAGACTCAGTAATTAGGTCTATATGTCAAATCCAGTGATACACAGTGGGATTGTATTGAGCGCTGTAGGGCCTGAATAATAGTGATGAAGATGAGAAGAGAAGTGCTGCTGGAACAGCTTTCGCCTCGCAGGCGGCTGATTGAGGATCAAGTTTGGTGTCATAAAGTCAGCCCACTGTGATTTAAAACACTCGATACTGTAAAACCTCATCCAGCTGTATTATTTATACATCATGTTTCATTTAAGACTGGCATGACCTCCTGTCAGCTGCTCAGATACAAGTCTACATTATTTACAGAGATATTAAAGCCTATCCTACATTTGGAATAAGGCCTGGTATATACCACCTATTTCTAATGTTTTTAATATGGGTTCATTTAAATGTGGAATTAGTTTATTTTAGTTATTTATATAGTTTAGCTGCATGTTTAGATTCAGGTGGGGTACTCTTAAGCAATAAGACGCTCTGTTTAACTAAACTAAAGTGCATGGTGCAACTTTATAAGGGCATGTGCAACCACATTTTGCTAGTTCAGCCATTCTACATCTTACCCCCGAGCGCTCTCCTACCACTTTACCCTTAAACATGCAGGAAACACAGGCATTAGTTATATCGGTGCATGCATTGATGTTAAATCCACAGCTCTGCACAATCAGTAACTTTCCAAATGGATAGACATGACACTGCTGTAGGGCTGTGCAGGATGGAGGTTATGCAGAGATAGTGGGGAGCAGTATGATGGTGTATGAGAGCAAAGAAAAATACTCATATCTCCAAGCTCTCTGACCCCATAAATACTCAATTTCACCATCTCAGCAAAAACACGGCTGTTATAATGAGTGGTGGCACAGCTGTGTGTCTCCATTTGTGCCTAAAGGGCAAAGAAAAGCATATGATGGACTTTTAATCTCTCACTAGTGTGCCAGCTGAATACCAGGAAAGCACTGCTTCCTCTCTCTTGAAGACCAACATGCCTGAGGTGCTAATGTGTTTGATAATTAACAGGGAATTCTCACAACATGGGCAACAGGTGTATGAATGAGTGTTGGCTCCCTACCATAGACTGTAAATAGACTTCTTAGCTCCAGCCAATCAGCAAACATCAAAATAGACTTTCTATTTTAACTGTTTTATCCTGCCGGCTCCCCCAGGCTCTTTGCTGATGTTCTCCCTGCTCCCACCTCAGCTCCTCTTTTCTTTGCTGTGTCTGATTTGACAAGAGTCACATGCATTCTCGTTGATGCATGCCCTGCCCTGCACCTTGTTTTTGCTGCTGCTCTCCCAGCCTTGTGTTTCCATGTGTGCACATGTAAGAGAATGGAGGTGTGCTCTCCTCTGCCTCTGACTTTGGCGCTCTACTAATGCATTTTAAAGGGCGGGGAGCACTTTGAACAGAGCTTAACTGATTAATATGACTGTTTTCTGTAAATAATTCAGTCTTTTGGTTCTTTTGGACCTCAAGTAGCTTGATAAAGATTCTTGACCGAGGTCTTGCTGTAAAATTAAAGCGTCCTGGGCTCTTGAAGTCCAACTGCATCAAATATTGACACTGAAAGAAGATGTTTGACCTGCAGACAGCTGTACAACTTCACTGACAGAAACCACAAACACTTCTCTCTAAACTGCGGATTTCTCTCTCTTCACCTGCTGACATACTGTAGAGAGGTATATCTGTGCAAAGATGTGATCATCTGTTTATCCTGGCTGATCCGTCAGTCTGGCTCTTGTTAATGTCTCCCTCTGTGCATCCAAATAGAGCGAGCACAAACACACCTTCACACACTCACACACACGTATGTTTGACTAACAGTTACACAGACAGATTCTGACCACACGTCAGACTTCACACAGAGAACATTTCATCCATGAACCCCCTGAACATGTTAATTTCCCCGGAGTGAAGCTGACGTTTAGTCTCGGAAGCCGTCCACGCCAGAGGCTAAATCTTACATTTCAATGCAGACCAGGAGCTGAGGATCTCATTAAAATCAAACACTCCTCAGCACCTCCCGGCGAGAGGAGGCAGGATAAAGGGAGGCGCAGCCACACTCTTCATGAATACTAATGTCGACTCCTCTTCTTGCCCTCACAGCCGATCAGGCCGATCCCTGCAAGTTCCTGGGCTGTGGCGAGTTTTCTCGCTGCGTGGTGAACAGACGGACGAAGGAGGCGCAGTGTATGTGTCAGCCGGGCTTCATGTCAGTGGACGGTCTGCCCTGTCAGAGCGTGTGTGTCCTCCAGCCAAACTACTGCCGAGGAGGGGAGTGTCACATAGTCCCCGGACATGGAGCGGTGTGCAGGTAAATAACCTTGTACAGGGACTATCAGCAGGGTGACCCAACATCCCCCCACCTTAGGTGCTGAAAAAGTGGAGAAAAAGATCATTCTTTGAGCTGATATGATACCAACAAGTAGAGATGAGTTTTGGTCCTGGAGGTATGTGAGAGTTTGCTTTTAAACAGTCTAACCTGAACTCAACAATAAGCGGTGAAATTCAATAAAATGTTGATAAAGCAGAATTTGAGGGTTTGCAAAACATTCAAAGTTTATGCTTCATTCAAGATAGTGCAAAAACAATGTTTTAGATGGTGAAGCTGAAATATTTCACTGTTGTAGGAAAAATCTTCAACTTCTCTGTCAGGGAAATCACCACATGGACTTTAAAAACTATTGTCTTCATTACTCTACCAGCAAGTGAGGTTAAAACTGAACCATGCAAAGAGGAGACCAGATAGAAACATGATTCAGAAACTTCTCTGGACCTGAAGTGAAGAGGAAAAATGGTCTTTAAGTCTGATTAAATGAAATCTGACAAACTTTTTGGAAATCATGAACTCTGCATCCTCCTCGCTAAAGAGTAGAGGGTCCACCCGGCTTGTTCTCAGTTCTCAGTCTAAAGCCAGCATCCCTGATGGAATGGGGATCATCAAAGTCCATGTCATGGGTAGCTTACACATCTGTGAAGGCTCCATAAATGCTGAATAATATCTACAGGTTTAGGGGCAACATCTGCTGCCATCCAGACAATGACTTTTTCAGAGAAGACCTTCATATTTCAGAAACATGTCTCCTGGGTTCACTGACGTTTAAAGGGACCTCTTTAAGGAGTGGGAAGTAGGAATAGGTAGGAATCACTTTTAAAATGAGTTTTAATCATTTTAAATTTACAACATTTTCCTTTTTTCATGTGAAATGTTTTCTGATCCACGAACCATCAAATTCTGTTTCAACCAATGTTTGAAACTGTGTCACAACTTCTCTGGACTGGGATTATTTATTATATTAACTGAAGGTAGTGTCTCACTGAAGATGTTTCCAGGAGGCAACCCCCCCCTATCTCCTTCCCACTCCCACTGTAGCATCCACAGGTACAACTTCACTCTGTTGAAAACACCAAAGCATGAAATGTGCGGGCGATTAGTCATGGTGGTGGGTCTGCAGAGAATCATTACAAGGAACCTGCTTTATATGCAAAATCTTCGTCTTTATGATGATCAAATTAATCAGATTGAAGACTCAAGTGATGCTTTGGACTTACTGAACCAGGGGACTTGAAAAATTGATGAACACCTCCTGCGCTTGTAGGAACCTAAAGCTAGCACACCGAGCTGAAGTTTAGAGGATCACTTTAAATATCAGATGTCCACGGTCTCTGTTTAAAACACAGGACCATTTGTCAAAAGCTCATATTGCTGAAAAGCTCGATTATTACCGCGCTGTCTGTCCTCTGGAGATTCTATTAAATTATGAAACTTTAACTGAATTAAAAGTTATTGCAGGGGCTGTTTAATAATCCACCTCGTGGGGAGTTGAGTCATCTCTAAAGCTCAAACCGAGACTGTCGAGCTGAGACGGTGATCTGATGATTCTTTTCTCCGCCGAAAATTACAGGCTGCAGTCCAGACTCTCTCCTGATGTGAGGTGACATAACAGAAGTTCAGCTGTATTTTAAAGTTATATAAGTGAGATTAATCGCTTGATTTAAACTTCCTGGAGTAAGAACAATTTATTCTATATTATGCAAAGATAAATCCCATCAGTTTAGGAACAAAGAGTACAATTGAAACTAACAGAGTGTCTCAGATATCATTTTTTATGAATTTAGGATTTACAAATTACAGATTGCTGAACAAAACCTTCAGGCAAAAAAACAAGAATGAAAAAAAGGCTTTAGAAAAGGTCTCTAAAATTCAAGCTAAAGGTAAATTTGCTAAACCAAGACTTGTCGTTTCCTTCATTATTTGCTGCATCTCAACATCCAATCCAAAATGCAGAAAGCTGTAGTTATGTCAATCAATCAATCAATCAATCAAATTTAATTTATATAGCGCCAATTCACAACAGTCATTATCCCAAGACGCTTTCCAAAAAAAAGCAGGTCTAGACAGCACCTATTGTTTGAAGAATTACCAAGACCTAACCCAAGATGGAACAGATTTGACCCATGAGTGACAATGGTGAGGAAAAACCTCCTTTTAACAGGCAGAAACCTTGGGGAGGACCCGACTCATGTTAGACAGCCACTAAGCTGCTGCTGGGTTGGGGAGAAATATATAGAGAGAGGGAGAGAGAGAGGAGTAGGAGAGAGGGCAGGGGGAGAGAAAGAGAATAAGGGATTGGGAAGGAGAGAGAGAGACATTAAAACAAGAGCAACAACAGCATCTCATACAGAGTTGTGGTTGCAGAGCAAGTAATGATATTTCAAAGAAAAGCAAACACCCATGAAGTTTTGTGTCTTTGTGCAGTTTGTTCTTGTACCTGATTGCGCTGAGCTGTCAGCATCTTTTCTGGACTACAGAAAACGAGACCGACCGTGGATTTTTCTTTTTAAAAGTTTCTGTTTTAGTTTGGCAAAATAATTCGCTATCACAAGAAAATTATCCTTGTTATATCAAGATAATGAGATAATAAGTTGTTATTACTAGATAACAGTGCATAAAAAAAAAGAAAAATCACTGGCTGTGCTCGTCTTCTGCACTGCACAGAGCTGGACTGTGCACTCTAATCCTGACAGAGCTTAAATAAATGATGAGCTGAACCGAGAGACACTTTCCTCCAGTTTATTGGACAGAAGATTAATAATAGAACTGATGCAAATAATGATATTTATAGTGAAGTTTTGGTAACACTTTATTTGATGCCTATCTCTATAATGCATTCTAAAGATATTTACAAGCATTATAATCACATTATAACACAGTACAGCTGTAGATATAAACACTCATAAATGATCATAATGCTTTATTGCAATAATCATAACACATTATAAAGCATTTTATCATGACTTACAAGGTCGGGTATTATAATGTGTTATAATTGTTAACAGTTGCATTGCATTATCTATGTGGGCATTGTCAGTGAGTTGTTAACAGTTAAAAGACATTATAATACCTGACCTTGTAAGTCATGATAAAGTGCTTTATAATGTGTTATGATTATTGCTGTAAACCATTATGATCATTTATGAGTGTCTATAACTATAATTATACAGTGCTATAACAGGATTATAATGCATTTTACATATATTCATAATGTGTTATAGAGATAGGCATCAAGTAAAGTGTTACCGAAGTTTCCTTAATAGACTAAGCTAGTAGAGCACGTTGGTCAACAGAAACATCCGTCTTTAAAAGGCTTAGGGCAGATTTAGAGTTCCCGCTCTAACTTGCAGAATAAACCGTTGCAGTCTGAATTGCTGTCGAACATGTTGTTTGTGCCGCTCTTGAATCTCCACATGTATGTAACCTCTTTGTTCTCTCCTCCGTCTCTCTCTCTCTCTCTCTCTCTGTTTACTCTCTTGCTCTGCCGCTCCACACAAACAGAATAATCTCCCTCACATCTCAGGCTCTCTGGCTGTAAATCAATGCTAAGTTGATTCTGAACAGCTCCAGAGTGTTTCTCTTATTAACCGCTGGCTCGGAGACGCTGCCTTTCTGCTGCCAGAGAAACCTCATTTCAGCCCTGTTAGACTTCAGCAGCCCGGCTCCTGACACACACATCACCTCAGAGCTATTTTCTGTTGAAACATTAATTCCCCCTCATCTGAACCTCAGCAGGATTATCTTAAGGTTACACTCTCATTATTTTTATTATTATAAAAAAAAGCCTGTTGAAAGACAGGAGGAATTTCATTTCCTGGATTTCCATTTTTCCCTCTGGTCAGTCAGAAGATGCCCGAGAGGAGAAACTGCGGAGTGGTCGGATCATTGTGTGTGAAAATGAAAACCTGTTTCTGCCTCCGACAAACATTTAAACATAAAGTCCGTTCTGGTCGAGCTGCAAACTGACCATTTTGAAATATGTCTGTCTTGGTTTGTTTAGATTATTTTCAGGTGAAGAACTCCCAGCATTCATTTTCGCGGCCCTTATTCTCCTCTGCTTATCCCAGTTTGAAACCTCAGGCTGAGACTTGATTCACTTTCAGAAGCATGTACGCCTCCACTAAGCTGGGTTACGATATGTATTAAGATATATTAACAATCAGCTAAGAACACCAAGAACTTAGCAGCTCTGAACTTTACGTGTATTTCTTTAACTGCGGGGCTTCCTTCGGTGTGTTTATGACGTTCAGCTTCAGGGTCAAAGCCTTGTGTGAAGTAGGGAGCATGCTCAGAGCGCTCCGGTCAGTTTGGGTCTGAGAAGAAACCAGGAAAAGAAAGTTTAATCCTTCTTTGGTTTATGTTAAAGTGGCTTCGTGTCAGAGATCTTGTTCTGTTTTATTTAAAAAAGAGGAAATCCAGTCATCGAGCAGACTGTCTAAACTCTTCATGAGGATGTGTGTGGAGCTGGATTCAGTCTCTAACTCGACCCTCTGCACTTTATTTGATCAGTTCTGCTTGTACAAACAGCAGAAAAGCTAAAGTTGGTTTCCTCTGTGTGAGTTAAGGTACCAGCAGCTTTTCTGTCTGGTCCCGGGGATTGTAGGGTTCTCCGTGGATGCAATCATCTTGGATTTGCCAGCTGTCATTGACTCTGCACCCTTTTAGGTCCAATCCAGCATCCAGAGCGGCTGAGACAGGACAGAGAAGTAGAAAGCAGCAGGTAAAGTTGAGCTGAAGCCCAGAGGAGGATAATACGAGGAGCTGCACGTTCACTTTAATCTTCCCCGGCTGCTTGACGGCACAAAGTGCCACTAGAGGAGACAACCTAATCATTGTGGAGAGAAATAAAGGCTGCTTAATCAAAGAAAACACACTCAGAGAGCGCGCCTTCAGGTGCAGCCTTGCACCTTGCTCTCCATGTGCCCCTGGTACTCCAGGTCACGTTTGTTGTCCTACAGCCACACACACACACACACCGGCTTACCTGCCAAGCTTTGTTAAGGTTGGATCCTGGCCTGAGTGTTTGTGTGACCAACAGATTTCCAAGTTAGCCTGGAGTGTGTATGTGTGTGTGTGTGTGTGCGCGCGTGCGCTCACAAGTGTGTGTTCACGTGTTTGGAAGTGTTAAGCTTGTAGAATCGCAGCTCTGGATTCACAGAATGTTTTCCGCACAATTTGTTGGCTGACTTTCTGTTTTTCTGTGACAAATAGGCGAAAAAAGGTAATCCTGGTTCTATTTGCACCGATCTCTGACAAAGATTTATCCTCTGGGAACAACAGCCGACGCTGCAGGGCTCGTGCCGTCCTGGAGAAGCGAGTTAGAAGTAAAGGATTTCCGGTTAAGACTCCCTGTACTCTGCATTGCTATATTCCCAACTCACTTACTGTTACTGTATTTTTATGCAGTTGATAAATAGAGATTTTATTTGCACCAAACTTTAGTACTGACTCCAGGTTCCAGTTTTTGGTTGCAATGCTTTCACTTAAATGCTGCGTGAAACACTTTACTATGAAACTCAAGAGGTGTCTCTGTGCGTATCCTTATTTTTGAGACCTTCATCTGACTCCAACACTTAAGGTCTGTTTCAGTTGGGGAATAACTGGCCCACTTTGCAAACATTGAAATGACCTCAGCTTCTGGCTGCTCTCAACTTAAAATATCTTCAATACAAATATTAAGGAGGTCACTTTCATCGAGGTTTCCCCACTCTGTTCTATCCAGTTTGATCTACATCTGACATAAAACTGTGTCGAAAAATATGGCCTGAAAACTTCTTTTTATTGTCACTTAAAAATCAAAGTCAGATTTAAAAGGTTATCTGCTTCTTTAATGCAGATCTGGAGCAAGTGAAATGTAAAATAAAATGTGTTTGAGCCCTTTTTTTCTTGTCTGTTTTGAAGCCTCTGTGCTACAGAACGGGCTTTTGCATTACTCAAAGATGAAAACAATTACGAGTTGAGAATTATGATCTAGTTTTAGCCTCCGAAACAAAGAATAAACTGGATTTAGAGAATAAAAAGTTCAACCTTTCTGCTTCTACTGGTTGTTTGTGTTATTCCTCATGCTTTCTTCCTTTTTAACCACATTTCCAGGTCATGTTTGTCATCTTCTCTCTGCATCTCTCTCCTCGACACAGAGTTGCAGTTTTCTCTCTCTCTGGTTGCAGGATGCAGAGTTGCTGCAGCAGCACTTTTCTCCTTCACACCTGCTTCATTTGTCTTTTTTTATAGATACAAAGACAGCTACTCCCTCCCGGGCCTGACCAGTTAAGGCAAAACATCGTATTGGATGCCACCTGAGAACACTACAGAAGGTAGGAGGGTTGTCGTTGCCAGGAGCGAGGTTGTTCTGCTTAAATCCCACATGTGCAATCATGTATTACTGCTGGGGGAAAACAGGGATCATGCTCGCTCAGCACGGCCTCTGTGTATAAATTAGAGCTGAATATGGTGATGGAGTTATCAGAAGACGCAGAGAGGAACCACAGTTTGTTTTCAGGTGTAATCTCAAACACCTGTGCACACACTCCGTCGTCCTCTGATGATTTTATTTAGACACATTTTGGAGTGTTAATCCGTCCTGCCCGTCTGAAACCAAATTAGTTCAGAGCTGTTGTGTGTTTGCACGGACACAGAGCTGAGCAGTGACTAATTAAACCCCCGAAAGATGCAGGAGGACTGAGTATGGGGACAAATTCTGCACCAAACAGTCTCAAGTCTTCATTCCCCCCGCAGGATGATGAAGTCCTGTCCTTTGTGGTCCCTTCTGGGCTCTCAGCAAGGACAATCATGACGATTAACTCCTCCTCTGCTCTGCAGAAAACCAAGGCTGCCTCTGCTTTTCAAAACCAGACTGAGAGGAGAAAAGAAATAACCTGAGCTGTTTGATTTGCACCTCTCTGTTATTTCTTCATAACTTCCAGGAACATGCTAAATTTATTTGACACTAATTACAGGAGTTTGGTGAACAACAATTAACTGTTATTAGTTCTGATTAACTGTCAAATTAAAAGCCAGAGAAACCTCCAATAATTAAAGGTGGGGTAGGCAGGATCTGAGGGAGTGCCGGTTTTTGGGAGAAATCTTGAATGTAAACTCTACCCCTCCCAACCAGTTTTCCCCTCAGCTCCTCCTCTCCCCTCCCTCTCTGCTCCAGCAAGCCCCGCCCACAAACAGACGCTCCTGCTCGCTCGTACAGTTTCAATTAAATTCAGATATAATGCAGATAAATACTTCAGATAATTACAAATGGGACCCAGTTAACGTGAAAGTAAAAAGCATTGGTGCTTCTGTAGATGCCAACAGACTACCAGCAAAGACAATGTTTGCAGGACTTCTACAACTAGGATAAAGTGACATAGTCCAGGACCCAAGGTAAACAGTTTAGCGGCAGGTCTCGTTTGACAAGAAACACTTCTGTTACTGACACTTGACTTACTTTGTTAAAGTGGTTTATCTGTTCAGCAGAAAGGTTACAGGGTCTGGAAGATCCCAAAGCATCCCCCATCATTGTTGACCTGGCTTTTTAGCTCTTGTCTACCTCCTTTTTAACCGCCCGTTATTCCACCAGAGACTCCAGTTTTTTCTCCGTTTTCTTGCTTGTGTTGGCAGTCATGGCCAAAGAAGGATTCAGACAATTTTCCGGACTTTATGGTTGGTTTCTACTGTCCGATATTTTGCACGCTAACAGGGGAGTAGCATCCGCCTCTCAACCAATCAGGTTGGGGGAGGCGGAGAATGGCAGAAAGAGCGGGCCGCTCAAAAAATGTAAAATGTTGACCACACAGACAAAACTAAATAGCGTGATATTCCCAAATGTCATCAACTAATAGCTATTGACTGATATTAAAAGCTTTTTTGTATATACACCACAAAAAAAGAAGCTTCTTTCACGGAATCCTGCCTACCCCACCTTGAAGTCAACGTGGTGCAAGTAAACTGCAAATAAACTGGTCTTTAAATGAGGATTCAGGTTTTTGGATGTTAATAACAGTTTGATATCCTGAATCTCATTAAATCTCAGCATTTAGAAAAGCCCTGGCAGACTCGTCTTAGAGGTTTCAGAGCTTCTTTGATGAAGAAGCTTTCACAAAGCTTCTTCATCTAATGTATTTGCATGTAAAAAAAAAAAAAAGATTTGCCCTTTACCACCACATCTTTTCATCCATCTTTTGTTTCTGCAGACTGGATGAAATGGATCTCGGCAGCAGGAACTCAAGACTCATGGCGGCTTCTCAGTAACAAACTCAAACTAACGCTGAGCTGCAGAGGCTTCAGGATGAACTCTCAAACTCCTCAGAGCTCCGAGCCTCTGAAAGGACCATCTCCCAGCAGGAGAAACAGACATTTAGGACTCTTTGAAAACCGTCGGACCACCATCGTCTGCCGCCATGAGCTGCACAACGACAAAGAGGAGCTCAGCAGACGACTCTGCAGCATCGATCAGGGGCACAATGATCGACTCGGGACTGTTTTATACTCGTCTGCTGACTCTGATTGTGTTTCTGTAGAGAATAGATTCATTATGTCCTAACTCACAGGATCTCATGTGGGAGGATCGAAGAAGGAAACAAAAAGGGAACTCACATTTTAAGTATGTTTTTTTGTGTCTTTGTTTAGGTTTGTTTTTACTGTAGAGAGCCCGAAACACCATTTTATAAGCTTCACACTCCAAACACACCCGACCCGAACCTCCTTCAGATTCGGTCTGAACACACAGAGCTCTTTTTTTTGGTTCCTGTAGTGAAGAATAGGAAAACAAGGCTGGTTCCTGACTCCTTTTTGCCCCTATCCCTTCAAAATAAGGTGAATATGTGAAGTGTGTACATTAGCTGTCCGTCTAAAAGGTGGTTTTCTCTGTCAGGTTGTGTTACATGAAGGATTTTAGAGGTGATGTTTAAGTATTCAGTGTTGCTAAAGAAGTGAAGTATGTCTGTTTTATTTTTGACTTTTTTTTTTGCGATATCTTAAACGCGATGTTTGGAAATGTTGATTTGCTGTAGGGTCTTAACATGTAAACCAAGACTCAGGAGTCTGTAGCCATGCTAGCTGTATTTAAATGGTGCTTTGAGCTGAATGCTAACAGAAGCATGACAATGCTAACATGCTAATGTTATGCAGGTTATTGTTTACTATGTTCACCCTCGTAGTGTTTTTTTTTTTTCATTAGCACGCTAACCTAGGCTGATGGAGCAAGCTTTGATGCGGTAACTGCGCATTTAACGTTTATAAACCACAGGAGTTTGTATTTTTCACCTGGAAGGGAAGATGAAGGGTTCCTCCAAATTTCTTCACATCTCAAAGAGCTCTTTCGAAACTCACCTCAGAGGCTTGAATGTCAAACTAAAGATGGTGCTCGGGGAAAACTCAGGGGGTCTGAAGAGTCGTATGTACGCAACGTATGAAGACAACGAATGTCCGTGCAAATCTGCAAACAAACCTGTGTAATAATGAGAGCTGGAGCCACACTTTGATCAGAGCATGTTTTCTCACCTGGATGTGCGCCCTCTGTCATGTTTGTTCTAGCAGTTCTGATATTTTCTTCATATTTCGGGGAGTTTGAGGTTAATTTTAATTCGATTTTTGATGCAAACCTTGATCTATCTGAGCTGTAACTCAACCAAATTTGTAATGTGCAATTTCTTTAGCATGAAGGTCATCCTAGTCTTGTCTTTCGCTTTTAAATCCAAACCTAGATGTCACTCCAATCCAACACCATGACAAAAGGCTTTCTCAAACATTTGTTTTTCAGTCTAATCTCAGTTGCAGAATTTTGTCTCTGAATTGGTTTAAAACACAGTGTGATATGTTTGTTTTTAATGTCTTTTGTTGGTTGGATCAGACACTGAAAACCAAAAATTGTCGCCATTTGCAGCTCGTCTGAGATGTTTTGAAAGATTTGGCACACAAATCAAAGAAATGAAAAATGACCATCAGTATCCTTTTGTAACAGCAGAGCACTAACTGCCTTTGACTCTTTCGTTGGACATTGTAACATGTCCTCCGTCTATTGCTGAGCAGAGGTGTATTCAGCACTGTCCTGTCTTCATATGAAATTTAAGTGTAAACAGGGTCTCAGACTCGACGGATCCCCTGATGTTTACTGCTGCTTTTAGAGGGAAAACCCACTAAACTGTAACTTTTTTCCTTGATAATGTGTAAAATATTTGTTAAATAGCTGTTAGTTGAAATACAAATTGTGTTGAATAAGAAACAAACTTTCCTGTATTTGTTTAAAAAGGTTAATTTAAAGGTTTTTGTCTGAGTCTGGCTCTCCATCTCTGACATGTCAGGACCTGATGTTGATTTATACCTCTGGGAGTGATGGGTAATTTCTCCGGTGAAGCAGACGGCTGGCCAATAACACATTTTGTTCTGGACTTCAATTTCCTTGAGTTCAGATCAAAATTGAAATATTACTCAACCTCCAGATACATGCAAACGCTGTCAGGACATGGTTCACTTCATGGGTCAGGGCCCATTCTTGTGTTTCTAATGAGTCTCAGTTTTACTGTAACTGGGAAGACATACAAAGACTTTTACACAAGCCTTATTTAGCTTGTGTAAATCACTTGAAAATCTGTTTCTTTTTCAGGTTCAGTCTGCTGAAGTAAGCCAGAATGAAACCTCTGTGTAAAGGTCCTTAAACACCGGGAACAACGCAAATATCAGACACGAAATTGCGAAATATTTGGAGGCAAATTTTGATGCGCCTGACTAAGCACATTAAGTGCAATGCAATTTTGCGGGGGGACGCATCCTGGATGGAAGCGAGAAGACTGACAAAACAGCAGACTGACTGTTTTTCAGTTCTGATTAGACACTAGTGTTAAGATGGCTGTCTGTCATGATAGCATGTACTGAGTTGGGACCAGTACCAGATAAGCACATTAAACTATAATCCATAAACGTAAGGTAACAACCGAGACCTAATGGTGCTGTGACAGCAACACGATTGAGTTTGAGACAGTGAAAATATATATGGTATGTTGTATCTGAAGAGGTTAGCTTACGAGCTGAAGTTACTTAGCACAGATGAAAGTAAAAACAAAGACATTTAGCAAACTGTTAAAGCACACAAACTATCGTCACATGAGAAATCCGACGCTATGACTCTCCACAAGTTGTCCTTCAGGTTGTTATCTTTGTAATGTTTGTGTTTTTTATCAAAAAGCACTCTGTTCTCCAACACGTAAACAATTAGCCGGTCGGCCATGTTGGATATACTGGTGAATCTGATGTCGGAACAACACGAAATCTGATTGGTCAGAA